ATTAACCACGATCTGTTGTCTCACCTAAGCTCTGTTCTGATTCTACCTTTTGCCCCCTTCTGACAAGCAAAGCCAGATTCACTGAACAGCCGTGTGACTAATTTAAGAAAAGTCATAAAACGGGGCAAAACTCACTTCACCGTCTCACTTAGCAACAGAAATGTTGAGAGGACTGCCTGTATTGCAAAATCATTGATCTGGTTTCGCTGGTGGAAACTTTGGAGAGGAAGGATGATAGTTTTGGCCTACAGCAAGACGCTAATCTTGGCTTAAAGCAAAGTGAAAAAACATTCTAGACTCCTGACAGTCCCAGGTCAAGGACTTGTCACATCTGACAACGTCTTAGCCTGGTTTTTGTCAGCTAAGACAGGGGTTTTAGGCTGCTGCAACCCGTGGGATTTAGCTGTCATCCACTCTGCAATGACCAACTTCATCAGTGGGTTTGCAGCTAAGAGGAAACCTCAACCTCTTGGATGCAAAACGGAATTTAATTTTTTTTTTAAAAAAAGTAATAATAATACAGAGCTTGAAAATAAACCCAGGGTTGCAGCAAAGAGACCCAAGAATGTAAAAGCAATCAAGTCCCCCAAATTAGCCATTTTGCCTCTGTTTGGTTTTGTTTGCAAGGCTGAGTTTAAAAGCCATCCATCCTGTCATTGGCAAGCCTGGGGGAGGCCGCTTTTATTAAGCAGTGAAATGAATGGGGGGGAGCAAAAGGAACTGTTTTTTGGGGGGGGGGAGAGAATAATCCATATTGGTTTAATATCGTGGAAGTTTTGCAGGGCGAAAAGGCAAACGTCTGCATTTTCTAGAGCTCTCCCATCAGGCAAGCTGGCTAAAATCTTGATTGGGGCTGGGGAAAACGTGGGGGAAAATGCCAGTATGGTCAAACAAAATAATAATAAGTAGTGTTTTCTTTTAAGGAAGAGGAAAGTTTTAAAATCTTTTATCTTGATGAACAGTTCTCGGAAATGGCATATCGTTTGGGGAAACCTTTTGAGAGTTGGTTAATAGAGATTGGGGGAAAATGGGTTCTCCCCTTCATTTTTCTTAGATCTGGAGCCTAATCTATCACCACCAGAAAGTTAGATAGCCCCCCTTTTTTTCCTTCATCTCTTGCTTCTTTCTAGCAGATCAGCTGATTGCATTGTAGTGCCTCAGTTTCTGTTTAAAGAGTGCGTTCATTTTCACGTGACTGTTCTTTTTTTGAAAGAGGGAGAGGGAGAGAGAGAAGGAGGGAGGGAGAGACAGAGAAAGAGAGGGAGAAGGAGGGAAGAAGGGGATGGAGAGAGACAGAGAGAGAGGGAGAAGGAGGGAGGGAGGGGAAGGAGAGGGAGAAGGAGGGCGGAATGGAGAGGAGAGGAGAGGGAGGGAGGGGAAGGAGAGAGAGAGGGAGAAGGAGGGAGGGATGGAGAGGGAGGGAGAAGGAGGGAGGGAGGGAGGGGAAGGAGAGAGGGAGAAGGAGGGCAGAATGGAGAGGAGAGGGAGGGAGAGGGAGGGAGGGGAAGGAGAGAGACAGAGAGGGAGAAGGAGGGAAGAAGAGGAGAGGGAGGGAGAAGGAGGGAGGGATGGAGAAGGAAGGAAGGATAGAGAGGAGAGGGAGGGAGAAGGAGAGAGAGACAGAGAGAGAGAGGGAGAACGAGGGAGGGGGAGGAGAGAGAGAAAGAGAGAAGATGGCGGCTGTTTTTCCCCTTCAATTGGTAACCTCCCCTCTTTGGCAAAACCTGCTAGCCAAGTTCTGAGGTGTTGAAATTTCGGAGGCCTACTCTTGGAAAGAACAGGGAAGAAAGTTGCCGCAGCTTGCAACTTGATTTGCCTAGAAAATCTTGACAAGGGGTCCTCCTTTGGATTGGAGGAATGAGTTGCACCAGCTCTCCTGCCTTCTGACCTGGAATGTCTCACATTGCCCTTTGCAGTATTTTCCCATATATTATTGTCGGAGTCCAAATAACAGTCGAAATATTGGGTCTATCACAAGAGAAACACAAGTTTTGAGATTAGAAAGCGCCAATCTCTGCCATTTAAGCAAACAAACCTCCGATGCCAAATTTATTATAATGGATTGGGCGGACCAGGTTGACTTAGCCTTAAAGTACCACGCTTGCAGATATATCTGCATACATTTCTGGTCCATAGTTCTGCCATTAGCTCATATCACCCCGGGGTGCTTTAATTCAGCTGCAGGGGAAATAGCAAAGTCCGAGAGGCCTACAAACTTCCTCGTTCTTTACAACTTTTCAGATATTAATCCATTTATGCTGGCCAGGGAACACCCATTCCGAGATGGCTTTCTCTGCATGCTTTGCAGGTTTTTTTTTTTTTTTTTTTTTTTTGAGTTAGGAATTCGTGGGGGTGGGTGGGTTTGGTGGCGTTGGCAGGAGTGACTAAGCAGGAGCTGGAATCCCTGCAAGCAGAAGTGGCCCCTGGAGAACCGCGATGACTTCACATCTGCGTGTGTGCCTGTGAGGGCTGTTTGCACCCAGGGTATGTGGCCTGTCTTCTCTGCATGTTGTGAACTATGGCTCCCAGCACCTAGTCGCCGAGAGTCAATCCTTTGCCATGCCGTGGTTTGAGGCTTGCGAACTGTGTCTGTCTTATCGTGGAATATTTCCCAGTGTCTCTTTTACACCCGGGCTGATTTCCGAGTTTAGGGATACTTCCACACTGACTCTCCACCTCTCTATAATTCTCCATCCTTCCTGCTTGTTCCTAGGTCTAACTGAGAAAGCAGACAGCTGGAGAGCAATTTGGGCAAGGCAAGGCATTAACAGATACCACCATGAGGTCCTTGCTGCTCTCTGACCGTTTCCTTAGCCGTTTCCTTAGCCGACTAGGTAACATCAGGAGTGGAGGAGAGTGGAGGAAAAGAAGAAGAAGAAGAAGACGAGGAGGAGGAGGAGGAGGAGGAGGAAAGAAGAACTGCCCAAGAAAAATGCCTCTTGGACCTTGAATTGTGATGTCCTTGGGGCTCTCTGAGCTTGGTGGTTTTCTTGCAGATGTTTATCAAACTAGACAACTTCATCAGTGATAGAAGGGAGAGACAGCACTCCCTTCTAGCACTGATGATGTCACCTAGTTGGGTCATGAAACGTCTGCAAGGAAACCACCAAGCTCTGAGAGCACCAAGGACCCCACTGTCCTCCTCCTCCTCCTCTCTGCAAACGCCACTCCCTTCTAGCACTGATGATGTTACCTAGTTTGGTAATGCAACGTTTGCAAGAAAACCACCAAGCTCAGAGGGCACCAAGAGCCCCACAGTCGTCTTCCTCCTCCTCCTCCTCCATCATTCCACAAACCCCCTTCTAGCACTGATGATGTTACCTAGTTGGGTCATGAAATGTCTGCAAGAGAACCACCCAGCTCAGAGAGCACTGAGGACCCCACAGTTCAATCCAGAGCTATAAATCTTCTATCAGTGTACATGCCTCCATTTGACTAAATGCAAAAATGCTCCGTTCCACCTAGAATTTCTGTAACATTGTCTTCTCCTCGGATCGAGATTTCAAAAGCCACATTTCTATCATCTAATTAGTAAGGAAAACCCCGGCTCTCTTTCCCTGTCTGGTGCTCCTCTTGAAAGCAATAAAGAAGAGGGGAATTCCCACTGGGAATAGAGAAATAAGGGGGTTAGCCATGCGCCATTCCCTCACTTTAACTTTGCATTGCTGCCCAGAAAGCAGCGCTTAAGAGGAAACATCCCACTGGGTTGTGCAATATCACACAAGCTGAGCAAGTGACACAGTGTCTGCCTTTACGTTCTGTTAACAAGCTGCTTTTTTTCTCTGGGGAGTTTCTGCTGTGGCTGTTTCCATGGCTGTGGATTTTATTGTATTGATGAGTCTAGAATGCCTTTCCAGATCTGTTGTTATTCCCCGATGTGTAGCCTGGGGCAATTGGCATCTGGAACCACATCTGTAAGAAAAGGAATCTTAGCTTAGAACTGGAGGGACTTGGTTGAAATGTGCACTCTGCCAATTGGTAACCATGATCAACTGACTTGCATTATTTTTGCCTAGGCACTGCTGCTGTTAGAGTGAAGTCTATATTATATATATTATCCTGTTGGAAAAAAGGGCTGGTTAATGATAAGCGTCAAGTTTCTCTTTGGCCAAATTCAATTTCTAGTAATATCTGTAAGCGAAGAGCAGACTGAATTGGATGGTGGAGTTAAACATGTCATCACTTAAGAGTCCTTATGTTGCCACAAACGATTCAAGTCCAGTCCCCTTGAGTTCTGTTTGCCCTTATCTGGTGCCAGTTTAATACTGACCATAATTGACTAGATTCTTCTATATAGGCTTGAATCTATGCTGCAACTTAACATAGGGTTACGGATCCTTTGCACCTGAAAATACCCATGTTGCTTTCTTGGCATCGTACCAAAGTAATTTGCTGCTATTTTTTCCTTCTTTTTTGACTTCCCAATCAAGACAGTAACCCTAAGGTTTCATGAAGGATTTGTTTTTCTAGAGAAAAGAAATACTGGGGGGGGGGGAACATGATAGCAGCCTTCCAGTATTTGAGAGGTTGCGACAAAGAGGAGGGGATCAATTTATTTTCCAAAGCACCAGAAGGCAAGACAAGAAGCAATGGATGGAAACTAATCCAGGAGAGAAGCAACCTGGAATTAAGGAGAAACTTCCTAACAGTGAGGACAATTAACCAGTGGAAGAGCTTGCCTCCAGAAATCGTGGGCGCTTCATCACTGGAGGTTTTTAAGAAAGGACTGGACAGCCATTTGTCTGAAATGGTCTAGGCTTGGATCTCCTGCTTGAGCAGGGGGTTGGACTAGAAGACCTCCAAGGTCCCTTCCAGTTCTGTTTTGATTGATTGATTGATTGATTGTCGGTCTTTCTTCCAGTTACTGGTCAAGTCTGAGCTTGCTTGGCTTCCAATTCTAGACAAGGGTGGCCAGACTTGGTTAGACTAGTGTGTGTGACTTAAACGTTGACCTTAGACTTCTGCCCCTTCTCACATAGATTTTCCTTCTCCGTTTGCAGGGAAGACAGACAAGATCCTCACGGAGTTTAGCCACTTCTACCAGGAACAATATGGCATTGCCCTGTTTAACAGCGTCCGCTTTGAGATTGAAGGGGGAACTAGTCCACAAGCCCAACTATTGCATCGCAAGGTAAGTCAGACATTGACACAACCTGGGGCAAAAGGATTCTTCTTCTTCTTCTTCTTCTTCTTCTTCTTCTTCTTCTTCTTCTTCTTCTTCTTCTTCTTCTTCTTCTTCTTCTTCTTCTTCTTCTTCTTCTTCTTCTTCTTCTTCTCCTCCTCCTCCTCCTCCTCCTCCTCCTCCTCCTCCTCCTCCTCCTCCTCCTCCTTCTTGGTTTCTCAGGGAAGTCCTCAGGTAGAGAAGGAAGGGCTTGGATGAGTCCCAAGTCTTGTCATTGGGAAGGGAGGTGATCGTGTCTTTCCGATAACGATCAGAGACATTGTCCCGAGGGTCTTCTGAGAGATAAGACAGGAGTGTAAGGGTACAAATTGGAGGAACAAGTGTTGCTAGGAGGCAAAACAGAGGGAGGGTGGAAGAGATGTGCAAGGGGGGAGGGAAAATGGCTTAACCAGGGTTGCTGTTTGCGTAATCTGTTCAGTTTTGCTAGAGTTAACTTCTGTTTTAGAATAATTTAGCACTTTGGATAAAACTCAGCTTCTTTGGTTGGCTTGTGAGTCAATATTGGGGGAAGCCAGCAAATGGGTGAAAGAATTATTTTTTAGAGATGATTATGAGATGGGATTTAAATGAGGTGACACGTTCAGGTTTGCTGACCAACTGGGAACATCTGTGTAGTTTTTTCAGTAACAAAACAGAAATGCTTTGCTGAGATCTTTCCCCCCCCCCTCCTTTATTTGTATCCTGCCTTTATCATTTGTACAAATGATTCGAAGGGGTGAACATATCCAATATGCATTTCTCCTCCACCTATTTTTCCCCACAACAACAACAACTCTGTGAGGTGGACTGGCTGAGAGAACGAGGGACTGAGCCAAAGCCCACCCAGTGGGCTTTTGTGTCTAAGACGGGACTAGAACTCACCGTCTCCTGATGATTGACTCAAAGTCACCCAACGGGCTTTCACGGCTATGGCTGGACTAGAACTCACCATCTCCTGGTGATTGGCACAAAAGCTGGCTGAGTGACTTTGGGCCAATCACCAGGAGATGGTGAGTTCTAGTCCAGCCATAGCCATGAAAGCCCGTTGGGTGACTTTGAGTCAATCATCAGGAGACGGTGAGTTCAGACAAATGATTAGATGTAGACTAGACTAGATTGGGGGTAAAAACCAATTGGAGAGCCAGTTTGGTTTGGAGATTAAGGCATCCGGCTAGCAACTAGGCTCTCCAATTGGTTTTTACCCCCAATCTAGTCTAGTCTACATCTAATCATTTGTCTGAATGGTATAGGGTTTCCTGCCTGAGCAGGAGGTTGGACTAGATGACCTCCAAAGTCCCTTCCAACTTTATTATGGATCATCGCACAGTCAGCCAGATGTTCAGACTGGATTTGGCATTTTGTCTACCTATCGAGTCCTTACCCAGGACCTGGGATAGGCAAGGCTCTCCTTGGTTTTTACCCCCAATCTAGTCTAGTCTACATCTAATCATTTGTCTGAATGGTATACTGAGCAGGAGGTTGGACTAGATGACCTCCAAAGTCCCTTCCAATTTTATTATGGATCATCGCACAGTCAGCCAGATGTTCAGACTGGATTTGGCATTTTGTCTACCTATCGAGTCCTTACCCAGGACCTGGGATAGGCATTTTTTCTTCTTCAACCATTATTATTATTATTATTATTATTATTATTATTACCCATCTCAAGATCAAGGGAATGGGTTCAAGGCATTCTAGACTAAAAATAAGGCTGGAGTTCTTTCGCCAGGGCCCAGAAAGTTGTCTTGTGTGCACCTGGGCTGGGTTGAAATTACCTCCGCACCAGTTCAGTTGTTTGTATTGTCGGCCAGTTCATTTCCCCCCCACTCCATTCCCTCCAAAAAAAAAAAAAAAGGAAAGGAAGGAAAAAATAACAGAAGCAGTGATTATTCTTTCCAGCTGATCTTCGCTCTTTCTTGCAATGTAAACACGCTAAGTGCTTAATTGCAACTCTTGTCTGTCTGCCAAGGACTAGGAGACGCCCAAATGCAGACGGGCGTGCAGGACTCGGTCTGCATTGAGTTTTTAATCAGGAGGGGTGCCATATTTTTCTAGCCCCACTGCGTCCTGAAGGGCTTGGGGGAAGACAGGCCTCCAGCAGACTACGCTATGGTGTTTCCCCCAAAATAAGACCGGGTCTCATAATTAATTTTTGCTCAAAAAGACACATTAGAGCTGATTTTCCAATTAGGTCTTATTTGGGGAGGGAATACGGTACTCAATGCATCCGTCTGGCTGACAATCTTAACTGGGGCTTATTTGGGGGTAGGCCTTATATATTATATATTAGGATGTGTGTATATAATGTATGTTTTTATTTGTGGTTTTTACTTGTGTGTAGTGTGCACTGTGGACAGCACTTAATTTCGTTGTGAGTTACACAATGACAAGCTATTCTATTCTATTATCCCATATTATCCCGTTATCCCATTCTATTCTATTCTGTTCTGTTCTGTTCTGTTCTATTCTATTCTCTATTCTATTATCCCATATTATTCCATGTTATCCCATGTTATCCCATATTATTCTATTCTATTCTATTCTATTCTATTCTATTCTATTCTATTCTATTCTATTCTATTCTATTCGTAAGGGCGAAAAGGGTCAAAAATCACTTTTTTTCATTAAATTAACTGTTGTGAGTCAAGGGCAATCTGTACAAGTATCTTTTTTAAAAATCTATGCAAGCTAAAATAGATTGTTAGATATTTTGAGGGCTCAAATTGTTCCCCCCCCCCTTCATTTATTTCTAATTATTTATTAAGTCATCCCAGGACTGATGAAACTCTGCAAATATTTGAGATCCCCAAATCCTTTATTTTTTTTCCACTAGGCAATGCTATTTTTGTGATCTTTGAGCTGTCCCAATATTTGCAGATAATTCAGATTTTTGACTCCATTCCCCCCCCCCCACACACACACACCCCTTCTCAACACAGCTTCCCTTCTTTTGGTTTTGGGTTGTTACTTTTTGTCTCTGTTTTTTTGCCTTTAATGTTTACATTGCCTTTTTAAGTAGTGGAAGTGACTGTCTGGATTTCTTTGCTTGCATCAATAGGAGAGCGTTTCAAACAGCCTGTATGCCGCTTGGCAAAGGCTGATACCTAAAAAATGTAGATTCCCCTTAAAATAAACCAAACCCCAAATAAATAGGGGACATTAACAAAAGGCATCAAAAAGTCAACTCTTTTTTTTTTTTTTGAAGTGCACCGGGAAGCAATCCCCACCTGTGTAAAAGCCTCTCTACGACCACAGTAGGAACCAGAAAATTTGTAACTAAGCAATATAATCATTAATTGAGAGATCAAGTGACTTGTGACCGTGCCTGCTGACTTCCCCATTGACTTTGCTTGAAGCCATCGCAAACAGAGCCACAGGATGTTGCAAGCAGGGGGCTGGACTAGAAGACCTCCAAGGTCCCTTACAGCTTCTATCCTATCCTATCCTATCCTATCCTATCCTATCCTATCCTATTCCAATATTCTATTCTATTCTATTCTATTCTATTCTATTCTATTCTATTCTATTCTATTCTATATCTTATATCTATCCTATGCTATCCTATGCTATCCTATATCTATCTTATGCTATGCTGTCCTGTCCTGTCCTATCCTATCCTATCCTATCCTATCCTATCCTATCCTATCCTATCCTATTCATTTTTTCCTACAAACCGACAGCAAACCGCACTTCTTCCTACCATAGCACTGATGGTGTTCCCTAGTTGGGTCATGAAACGTCTTCAAGAAAACCAGCAAGTTCAGAGAGCACCAAGGACCCATTCATTGAAACTAACGTTCAGAAATCAAGGACTTAGCCGTGATGTGCCAAGGTCACCCAAAGCCATTCAAAAGTGTCCAGAGAAGATCTTCTCCACCTCATGGTGTTCCTTCCTTTCTTCTTCCCTATGTATCTCCAGGTACCTCTGGAGGACCGGGTCATCTTCTCCGGCAATCTCTTCCAGTACATAGAGGAAAACAAGAAGTGGAGGAACCGTTTCAGCGTTGTACCCCTCAATTATGGGGTGGTGCTCTACGAGAACAAACTGGTAAGGTTCTGGATGGCTTCACCCAGGCTAGCTTGGGCTGCTTGATGGGTGGAGAAAAACCAACCGTCTACGGAGATTCTCTAGCATCCAGGTCATGGTTGTCCCAAAGGTGCTTTTCCGAAAGACAGTCGGACTTTCTCGGGTCTTTTTTCCTTGAAAACATTTCGCTTCTCACCCAAGAAGCTTCTTCAGTTCTGAAGTTCTCAAGGATCAGAATCGAAGAAGCTCTTGATTGGGACCGAAGCAGCACGAGAGGTTGTCTTTCAAAGCAGCTTCAGGGATGGCCACATCAAAAGACCCTCCTGCCCCAAATGAGGTCCTCTAGGAAGAAATTCTTCACTTGGCCAGCTAGTAGATCATCAGATGGGACCAGACTCCCTAGATTTTGATTAATCAATCTTAGTGCGGTCCTTCTTTCTCTCTTTTTCTCAATCTTGGAGGAGATTCTTTTTTTATAAAAAAAAAAAGAGGGGGGAAAAAAAGCAGAGGTGAAGATCTCAAGGATCAGGTGAGGTTGAGCTTGTTTCTTCTCAAAGGACCAAGAGAGTCTTTAAGGGTCTTTTCTGTGTACAGTCCTTTCCCCAGCCATCTGTAGCTTCTTCACTTTGCAGACTGTCATTCAGTTCCAAGAGAAGACCTCAGAGGAAATACTTATTATTTTTTTTATGATGCTGCTGGGGCTACTTGGGAGGTTATGATAGACTGAAGAGAGCCATGAAAAGTATTGTAGACTTGCCAAAGCCGTTGAAAAATCAAGACTCGAAAAGGAATTCTCCCACAACCTGGAAATTAGTAGGCTGTTCCGGACATAATTGCTTTGAACATCTGGACAAGGCTCCCTAAAGTACATTAGCTCTAGGAGATGCCATCAGTCGGATAGCTTTAGGGGCAAGGATGTTTGACCACATGAAAATGATAGGTTGATGTGTTCCCATCTCCAGGCCTATGAAAGGGGTCTACAACCCCGAATTCTCGTCAACAGTGCTGGCTACAAGGTCCTCACCTCCCTGGACCAATATTTGGAATTGCTCAGCAATAACTTAACAGGTAAGTTCTACTTTGTATATTTCAGCTGGTCCTCCCCGGACACAGGACACTTAATATTTAACAAATAGCCTGATTTGCAGTTTAAGAGTCTATGGAGACTCTCATTCTTCCAGCTCATGGTTGTCCCAAAGGTGCTTTTTTTTTTTTCAAGAGGCAACTGGACTTTCTTGTTTTTCTTTGAAGACGTCTCGCTTCTCCTCCAAGAAGCTTCTTCAGTTCTGACCGGATGGTGGGGAAGGGAAGGATTTATACTCCTTGCAAACCACTGGTCGTTTGCCTTCTTTTAGAGAGTCGTTGAGGCCACTTGGAGGTTTGAGGTCGTTTGCCTTCTTTTAGAGAGTCGTTGAGGCCACTTTACTGTGTCCTCAGGGCTACCTGAGTGGTGCAAATGGGTGTGGAGTTGCTGAAAGGACCGTGTTGTAGACTGGAGGTAGACGACGACGTATCCCTCCCCCTCTGTTGAGAGAGGGCTGTTGAATTTTGACCTAGATGGCCTCTTGGACCCCTCTTTCAAACCAGGAGGTGAAGCCAAAGGTTTGGGGGAACCTCTTTGCAAAGGTTGGCACAGTTCCTGCCTCTTTGAAAGGGTTTAACTTGGGTTATCTGGAGGACCTGCCAGAAGGATCTGTCGAAGATGATCAGTAAATAAAACTCTCTTCTCAAGTGGCCCTCTGAGCAGCTGAGAGGTCCGCTAGGGAAACGATCAAGGCTGCCAGCCAAACTCCTTGTGAGAAGGAAACAAACACAAGAAAGATCATTCTTTCTCAGCTGAGCTGGGAGATTTGACCTGGGAAGGTGGCTCAGAGAATCATGACAAAGATCCTTGAAGTTATCTCCTCCTCCTTGCCTTGTCCACAGCTTCAATGACTCGTCCTTCATCCTAGGCAGGTGGAACATCTGCTGGAAAGAGAGACTCCTGCCTTGTTGGAGTCCCAGATGTTGCCAGATGTGTTTGCTTCTTAGTTTTTGCTCTCGAGTCTTTGGGGAAAAAATTTATATTGGTGTTCGGCCCCATCTGCCTGACACGTGTGCCTGATTTCCATCACACCCAACAGGAACATCATAGGGATCTCCTGTGGCGCAAGCATCACCCTCGGGCTTTGCTGTGCTCAAGTTGGGGCCGGGTTGTTCATTGCGTGTCCCTGTCGTCGTCTCCCTTTCCAGGTCCCGCCTCCAAGTCAAGCAATGCTGCCAGTCATCCCAAGTGTCCCACTCAGTTCCCCATCATCCTGTGGCATCCTTATGCCCGCCATTATTACTTTTGTGTGATGACCGGCAAGGAGCAGGAGAAGTGGCAGGCCATTTTTCAAGATTGTGTGCGTCACTGCAACAACGGTAAGCTTAAAGCGCACATGTGTGGGCGGGTGTCTTTCTCCTCCTTTTGAAGGATAGGTCTTCCTTTGCTTTGCTAGTCTGATTTGGGGTGGCCGTAAGGAGCAGACCCCTTCCTCTGATTTGACACGGAAGCAGAACTTGAGTTTTTCCGCAGTCTACATTCTGAGCACAGCCCTAGACTTGTCTGTTGCGTTGTTCGTAGCAATTTCACCCCTCGTTTTCCCTAAGGAAGTCCTTCCTATTCCAAGTCTCAAGGGATATCAGACCAAAGGTATGAGTAAGTTTACACATCTCTCTAAGCCAGCGTTTTTAAAGATGGTTTAATGCAGGGGGTCTTCAAACCTGGCCCTTTTTATGACTTGTGGACTTCAACTTCCAGAATTCCTCAGCCGGTGTGCCTGGCTGAGGAATTCTGGGAAGTCCACCAGTCACAAAAGGGCCAGGTATGAAGACCCCCTGGTTTAATGGGTGGGTTTGCTGGTTGCACTAAACTAAACTTAAACAACCCCCGTAATGGACGGTGGGCATTCAGTAAACGTGATGGTCAAGCGATGATTGGAAGGTGATTTTTTTCTCGGTCTGAGGACACCACCCTAACCATTGCACTACACTACTGATGAATTGTTCTCACTTCTCCTTCATTCTAGGTTGCTGCTCTCCTTGATTAGTTTCCATCTATTTTTTCTTCTTCTTCTTCTTCTTCTTCTTCTTCTTCTTCTTCTTCTTCTTCTTCTTCTTCTTCTTCTTCTTCTTCTTCTTCTTCTTCTTCTTCTTCTTCTTCTTCTTCTCCTTCTCCTTCTCCTTCTCCTTCTCCTTCTCCTTCTCCTTCTCCTTCTCCTTCTTCTCCTTCTCCTTCTCCTTCTCCTTCTCCTTCTCCTTCTCCTTCTCCTTCTCCTTCTTCTTCTTCTTCTTCTTCTTCTTCTTCTTCTTCTACGGTTGAGCCTCTCAAGGTCCCTGCACGCCTCTTTGGGAACCTGACCCTGCCCAGTCTGAAGCTGAGTTGGCAGAAGGTGGCATTTTGTATCCCATGAGCTCCACCCATCCTGCTCTGCTTGGCAGATTTCCTGCACTCTGCGGAATGCACTGTGCGGGAGGAGCAGTCTCTAAAAACAGCTCTGCCAGTAAAAAAAGGATCCATCATTCTCCTCTCGCTGCTTAAGCAGAACCTCCCTCTGAAACCTACAAGCCAGGCAGAACCTGTCCACCCACCTCACAATAACTTCCCTGTTCTCCTCTCTCTCTCTCTCTCTCTCTCCCCCACCTCTCTCTGGAATTTTGGAGAGGTAAAATTTGGTCTTGGAGAAAATTCAGACGCAGAATAGAGCTGGAAGGGACCTTGGAGGTCTTCTAGACCAGCCCCCTGCTCAAACAGGAGACCCTATACCATTTGAGACAATTAGCTGTCCAGTCTCTTCTTAAAAACCTCCAGTGATGGAGCATCCACAACGTCTGAAGGCCAAGCTGTTCCACTGGTTAATTGCTCTCACTGTTTTGAAGTTTCTCCTTAATTCCAGGTTGCTTCTTTCCTTGATTAGCTTCCATCCGTTGTTTCTTGTCTTGCCTTCTGGTGCTTTGGAGAATAAATTGACCCCCTCCTCTTTGTGGCAGACTCTCAAATACTGGAATAGTGCTATCATGTCCCCCCCTAGTCCTTCTTTTTCCAAATCCTGCATCCGTTCTTCATATGTTTTAGTGTCCAGGCCTTTAATCATCTTAGTTGCTCTTCTTTGCACTTTTTCCAAAGCCTCAACATCTTGAGAATCCCTTGGACTTTAAGGAGATCAGATCAGTCCGGTCCAAACAAAATCACCCCTGACTGTCCTTTGGAAGGACAGAGACTGAAGCTGAAGCTCAAATACTTTGTCCGCCAAATGAGAAGAAGACTCCTTGGAAAAGACCCTGATGTTGGGAAAGATGGAAGGAATAACAGAGTGGGAAGAGATCCTGGAGGTGTTCTAAGTCCAAGCAGGAGACCTGACATCGCTTCGGACAAGTGTCTGTCCAATCTCTTCTTAAAAACCTCCAGTGATGGAGCACCCACAACTTCTGGATGGAAGCCATTCCACCCATTAATTGATCTGGGATTATAGAATAGCAGAAGGTCCATGGGAGGGTCCATGGAGGTCTTCCAGTCCAACCCCCTGCTCAAGCAAGAAGACCTTGCACCATCCCGGACAAATGTCTGTCCAATCTCTTCTTAAAAACCTCCAGTGATGGAACAACCAACAACTTCCGGAGGGAAGGCATTCCACTGGTTAATTGTTTTCACCATCACGGAAATTTCTCCTTTCCTTCCAGGAGATTCCAGGAGAATCTCCTCAAATTCCAGGAGAGGAAGGCCTCTTTGAAAATTCGCCCTTGGTAGAAAGCGTCTGGAAGGCAGCCAGGTGCCTTCCTCTACGTGCCGTGCCGTGTGCTCTCTCTGTGTGTGTCCTGTTGCACACTCAAGATGGAAGTGTGCGGCAATGTCTCTGTTACTTCCCAAACAACAAGCAGCGTTTGGAGTCTCGTCAAAGATTAGCCAAGTGGGGTTTCGTTTCCTGAGCTGGGCTGATTCCCCTAGCATCTCTAAAACCCCCTACCCTTTTTTTGTGTGTCGAGATATGATCCATGCATCCTGCACAGCCCAGGAAGAAGAAGGAATTTTTTTTTTTTTTTGGATGCTCCAAACATCTGGGATTCTCCTGTTTTTTTCTTTTGTGGATCCATTCATGTCTCCTGCTAGGATGATTAACTGAGATACTAAAGACCAAGAGGATTTATGGGGCTGTCTCAGCCGCAGCCTCTCTCTTCCCACGCTTCCCTCTTCCCTTGGCTGGCCCAGGCCTTCTGGCTTACTGTCAGTGTGGTATTTATAACAGCATCTGAAAGCTGCTGCTTGCTGTATTTTATCTCTGGCTTTGTTTTCCTTTGGGTCTCCTGCTGATGCTTTTGCAGCATCGCCCTGCTGCTTCTTGCTCCAGCTGTGTTGGATGTGTCTGCTGGATTCAGCCCCTTTTCTCTCCCCCCAAAAGCCCACTTTATTCTAACTAGGAGGAAAGGCTGTGGGGAAGGGAGGGGAGGGGAAGATGGATGGGAGGAAGGAAAAGAAAGAGGAAGGAAGGATGAAAGGAAGGAAAGAAGGAAGGTGGGAGGAAGGAAGGAAGGAAGGAAAAGAAAGAAGAGGAAGGAAGGAGAAGGGAAGGAAGGAAGGAAAAGAAAGAAGAGGGAGGAAAGATGAAAGGAAGGAAAGAAGGAAGGAAGGAAAAAAGGAGGGAGGAAGGAAGGAAAAGAAAGGAGGAAGGAAGGATGAAAGGAAGAAAAGAAAGAAGGAAAAAAGAGAAGGAGGGTGAGAGGAAGGAAGGAAAAGAAAAAAGAGGAAGGAAAGAAGGAAGGGAGGGAGGAAGGAAAAGAAAGAGAAGGAGGGTGAGAGAAAGTAAAAGAAAGAAAAGGAGGAAGGAAGGAAGGAAGGAAGGAGAGAGGGAGGGTGGGAGAAAGGGAAGAAGGAAGGAAAAGAAAGAAGGGAGAGAAAGGAAAAGTAGAAAGAAAGAGAAAAGGAAGGAGAAGAGAGGAGAAATTGAGCCAAATAGCCACCCACGTTTCTCCATCGCCTCTCCAGTTGCGCAGTCCTCTTCGCCTGAGTCACAAAGAAGGAATCCCAGACATGTTGGGAAAGCCTTGTCAAGGCAACCCCCTTCCTTCCTTCCTGCGGGGGAGTCAATTTTGCAAAGCTTGAAGCAGAGAAATGATGCCGTCGCTCGGATTCAGTCTCCCAGCACCTTCCTTAGTCACTTCCCCCCACTTGGGTGAAAATCTGGATGTCTCCTATTTTTTCTTGTTCTTTCCCCACTGGGATTTACTTCTGCCAGATTCAAGGTCCGAGAGTTATTTTTCTTGGGCATTTCTTCTTTCCTCCTCCTCCTCCTCCTCCTCCTCCTCCTCCTGAAGAATCTTGATTGTGGATTTTCCAATGATGATGATCAACACAAAGGAATGGTGATCGCCACCTTTTTCCAATTGGTCAACACAAAAGGGTTGAATCTAAAAAAGACTTAAGAAGCAAATGGCTGATGGATTTTTGCAGCAACAATGTTTCTTACATGTCTTTGGTGAGACAGCTCTCTTCCTTCCTTCCTTCCTTCCTTCCTTCCTTCCTTCCTTCCTTCCTTCCTTCCTTCCTTCCTTCCTTCCTTCCGGGCTGAATCTAAAAAAGACTAAGAAGCAAATGACTGAAGGATTTCTGCAGCGACAACATTTCTTACATGTCTTTGCCCAGACAGCTTCCTTCCTTCCTTCCTCCCTCCCTCCCTCCCTCCCTCCCTCCTTCCTTCCTTCCTTCCTTCCTTCCTTCCTGAATCTAAAAAAGATTCTCCAATATGGCTATCCTGGACTCCATTATTTCAGACTGATCTTTGGCCCCAAATCCTCTCCCTTGTGCCTGAATTCCATCAAGTGGGCCTCCATCCCATTCAAACGTTTTAATTCATTTCTCGGGAGTCCCAAAAGCATGGAAATGACTTTAGCTGCCTGTTTCTCCTTCGCTCCTTCCAGGAATCCCAGAAGAGTCCAAAGTGGAGGCGCCGGCATTCACCGACGCCGTGCGGATGTATCGCCAGTCCAAGGAGCAATACGGCACCTGGGACATGCTTTGCGGCAACGAAGCTCAGGTGAGTTCGGGGCGCGCGGCAGATTCCCAGTCATATCCACACCCAGTCTTGGGTCCTAAGGTGAAGAAAGTGGGGCCCAAAAAATTAGTTGCAGTCCAGAACTGAAAGCTGGAGAGCTAAGGTGGTCAATCAATTTTTATTATGTTCACGGACCAGCATCGCAAACAATAATAGTAGTAAAAAAACAAAACAAAAGACAGACAGAATAATGTTGGTGGATTATCAGCGGACGGTTAAAGTTTGCCTTAAAAAAGCAGAGACATCACCCTGCCAACAAAAGTGCGTATAGTCAAGTGCGTATAGTCATCCCAGTTGCAATGTACGGCTGTGAAAGTTGGACCATAAGAAAGGCTGAGTGCCAAAGAATAGAGGCCTTTGAACTCTGGTGCTGGAGAAGACTCCTGTGAGTCCCCCGGACTGCAAGGTGATCCAACCGGTCAGTCCTAGCGGAGATCAACCCCAACTGCTCTTTAGAAGGCCAGATCCTGAAGTTGAAACTCAAGTACTTTGGCCACCTAAGGAGAAGGAAGGACTCACTGGAGAAGAGCCTAATGCTGGGAAAGATGGAGGGCAAGAGAAGAATGAGACGACAGAGAAGGAGGTGGCTGGATGGAGTCACTGAAGCAGCAGGCGTGAGCTTCAATGGACTTCAGAAGACGGTAGAGGACAGGAAGACCTGGAGGAACATTGTCCATGGGGTCGCAATGGGTCAGACACGACTTCGCAACTAACAACAACAATTTTACAAACAACATGACAAAATTTGACCATGTTGAAAGAAACTCCCGGGTGCTGATCCGCCCACCGCAGTCGCCCATAAAAAGGACAGGCTGACCTCAACTTACAACCATTTAGTGTTCGAAGTCACAACAGCACCGAAAAGAGTGACTTACGGCTGATCCTTGCACTTACAACCGTCATCCTTACAGTAACGTGATCACAAGTCAAATGCTGGACAATTGGGGTGTATTGACGTCCTGCGGACACCATCTGCGATCTGCCCAGCCGGCTCCCGACAAGGAAAGTCAAGCGGGGGAAAAGTCAGATTCGCTTAATGACTGCCTGGTTCACTAAACAAACTGCAGTGATTTGCTTAGGGACCAGGCAAAAAGGTTGTAAGAAAGGGGCAAAACTCACTGAATGGCTGCCTTGCTTAGCAACAGAACTTTGAGGCTCAGTTTGCGTCATGTCAAGGACTGCCTGTAATTGGGGGGGGCCTTAGCTCTGGATTTCAGAATGGTTGGGGTGGGCTAGTTGGCCTCTGAAGCCCCCTCGGCTACGCACCTTGGCCGCGAATGGATGTGATTTTGAATGGTTTTAAATAACGAAGGAAAGGAAGCTTGGATGGGTTAACTGCTGGCCAATTTTCCTTGTACTGTTGGAGCGCTTGAGCAGACAAGAGTGCGGTGGCAGTTTGGTGCCTTTGGCTGTTGGATGACTTGAGTGGAAGTTGTTAGCAAGAGGCTTGTGGGTTCGGGCTTGCCATCACTCCCATCCCACCCTGTCTGTTGCGTCGCACACCCACACTTGAGGCTCAGTTGAGGCATGGGCAAAAGTCTCCCATGGGAAACAGTAGCAGCGTCATCCCCAGGGAAGGAGGGATGTAGGAGAGGTGGAGAACTTCCTTTGGCACTGCAAGGGGAGGGAAGAAGAAGGAGGAGGAGGAGGAGGAGGAAGTGGTGAAGGAAAGAGAAACAAAGGGAAGGGAGGAAGGGAGGGAGGAAAGAAGGAAGGAAGGAGAAAGGAAGGAAGGTGCCTGAGTGCAGGACAAGAAGCAACAGATGGAAACTGATTAAAGAGAGAAGCAACCTGGAACTAAGGAGAAACTTCCTGACAGTGAGAACAATTAACCAGTGGAACAACCTGCCTCCAGAAGCAGTGAATGCTCCAACACTGGATGTTTTTAAGAAGAGATTGGACAGCCATCTGTCCGAAATGGTATAGGGTTTCCTGCCTGAGCAGGGGGTTGGACTAGATGACCTCCAAGGTCCCTTCCAACTTTATTATTATTATTATTATTATTATTATTATTATTATTATTATTGGAAGGAAGGAGAAGGGAAGAGGAAGTAAGGAAGGGGAGAGGAGAGGAGCATCCTTCTTTGGTGGGCCTTCAGCATTTTGATCCCCCAGATTTGAGTCCTCTTCCTTCTAAGTGAGAAGGTTGGGGATGGGGGGAATGAAAGCGTAAACCAAGGAAGGGGAGAGTCGGCTGTGAAACACCAGGCAGATGGGGACGTGGTTGTGGCTGACAGTCTGCGGTGACCCTTTCCTTCCCTAGGTCTTGAGCAATCTGGTGATGGAGGAGCTGCTGCCTGAGCTGAAGAATACGATTGGCCCCCGGCTGAAGGGCAAAGAGCAAGAGAGGCAAAGGGCCTGGATTCAGGTAGGGGCCATCGTGGGTTGCAAGAAGCTTGGGGAGAAGTCACTGCTGGAAGGTGCAATGGAGGAGGAGGAGGAGGAGATAGATAGATAGATAGATAGATAGATAGATAGATAGATAGATAGATAGATAGATAGGGAAAAGAGAAAGAAGGAGAAGATAGATAAGGAGAAGGAGAGAAAGGAGTAGATAAGGAGAAAGAGGAGGAGAAGATAGATAAGAAAAAGAAGAAGGAGAAGATAGATAAGGAGAAGGAGGAGAAGGAGAAGATGAGGAGAAAGAGGAGAAGGAGATAAGGAAAAGGAGAAGGAGAAAGAGGAGAAGGGGAAGATAGATAAGGAGAAGGAGAAAGAGGAGAAGGGGAAGATAGATAAGGAGAAGGAGAAAGAGGAGAAGACAAAAAGAATGAGGAGAAGAGATTGGGTCTCATATGGAAATGAATATAGGGTCTCCCAAAAGGAAAACTGTAAACAGTTCTTATGGCCTAACGTTTCTGATGTGCCACCCAAACACCTCTCTGTGTTCTGCCTCCTCCATGTGGCCACGGTGGTGACTGTGGACATTTGGTTCCTGCCTCTGCTTGGGTGTTCTCCTCTCCCCTCCCGTAGGATTTTTCTCTAAAGTTCATTTGTGCTTTTGCAAACTTTGGAATGAAGCCAAGGCTGGGAAAAAGTCTCCCTCTTTGTGCCCAGCTGCTGACATTTTCACACTGGCAGCGAAGGAAATCGTGGTGGCATTGTGGAAACCCAGGACTTCCCCTGTGTGCTGTTTGCCAGAGGCTAATAACTCTGCTTTAAATATTCATTTGCATGATGTCAGGTGCATGGAATATGCTTGAGATAAATGACCGCTGCTGTTTATTCAATTTTACAAACTTATCGTTTTGCTCGGAGGTTGGAATAATAAAGACAGGATATCTTATCTTTCTGGTCTCTTCCTCAACAACCTCATTTCTTTGCATTCTATTTCTAAGTGACTAGTCCTCTTGATTGCAAAAGTGGGCTGGGCTACCCTGGGCAGGAGGGCTGCGAATTTCAGAAGCAGAGACACATCCAGGAGGAGGTTGTGGTTTTGCTGATCTAGCAGGAAATCTGTTCTATCCTTGAAATATCGTGGTGTAGAAGTCTTGATCCCACATAGTTGGTCCTGTTCTCATTTCAATTTTTAGTGTGACTTTTTTTGGATGGATGGATGGATGGATGGATGGATAATAGAGATAGATTGATTGATAGACTGATGATGGATGGATGGATGGATGGATGGATGGATGGATGGATGGATGGACAGACAGATGACAGAGAGATTGATTAATAAATTGATGAAGAATGGATGGATGGTGGATGGATGGATGGACGGGTGGATGGACAGATGATAGATTGATAGACAGAAGAAGGATGGATGGTGGATGGATGGATGGATGGACATGATAGAGCTAGATTGATAAAAGGATGAAAGATGAATGGATAGATGGGTGGACGGATAGATGATAGAGCTAGATTGAAAGATGGGTGGGTGGATAGGTAAGTAGGTAGACAGACAGACAGACAGCAAATGGTAGATAGATGGTAGATAGATGATAGGAAGGTAGGTAGATAATTTGCAGACTGATACTGCAGGCTTTCGACTTGGTAAAAACCAGAAGGGTCTGTTTTTAATTTTGTTTATGTGTGGGTGTCGTTAGGCATGACCTCATTTCAGCCTACAAATTCTTCTTTTTTTTCCTCCCTGCCTTTTTTAAAAAACAAAAACCTGCTCTGGCACACCCCTATATATTTATTTGATCAATATCTGGGCTGCTGGCCAGGTACAAAACTAAAATAAACCGTAACCGTCCAGCAAATTTCCCTACTGGTTTTTTTTTTCTTTTTTGATGGAACACCTTGAGGTCTAAAAACATCATCAAAGAAATCTCTTTGAAAGTCTGAGCTGCGATGATAAAGATCAGGAAATAGGCTTTGTGTATTTCACTTTATAGCTATCTGGTGTCCAGCATTGGATAATCTGCCTGGTCTCCATCTATATTTAGCTTTTAGTTCACAGGAAGATAATTCTGTCTGCAAACCGTTTTTGTGGGAAAGAAATAAAAGTATTCTTTAAAAACGCAAGATAAATCTTGCCACGGGATGCCATTGTCAAAATAGCCAACACAGAAACCTCCTTTTAAAAGCAAATATTCAGCTTTGCTTGATTAATGCATTCTAGGGCGGCAGCTGATGAAAGAAGCCCTGTCTTTTTATAAACCTTCCCATTTTCTTGCCCAGGACCCCTCCCCGTACAATATACAGTATACTGTACATATATCTAGATTATATGCAAGGCTGTCTGCGTGGAGGGTGATCCTGCAGGAATGCCAAGAAAAACATACTTTTGAGCTGGCTTTCCTGAAAAAAAAAATAACTTTTTTAATGTCAATATTTCTGTGAAAGTTGGTGTTTGCTTGAAACTTTCTAAGCAGTGAAGACTAAAAAGGACAGTTGATCTGATGTATACAAATCACAGTTCCAGCATGCCTAGTCCTTCCTTCCTTCCTTCCTTCCTTCCTTCCTTCCTTCCTTCCTTCCTTCCTCCATATGCCTTTCTTTCTTCTTTCTCTCATTCCTGTCTCCTTCCTTCCTTCCTTCCTTCCTTCCTTTATATACCTTCCTTCCTTTCTTCTCTCATTCCTGTCTTCCTTCCTCCATATGCCTTCCTTTCTTCCTTCTCTCATTCCTGTCTCCTTCCTTCCTTCCTTCCTTCCTTCCTTCCTTCCTTCCTTCCTTCCTTCCTTCCGATATTTTCATAACCTCTGTGGCTTATTTCAGGTTGAAGAACAGAACTGCCTTTCTATGAAATGAATATAAACATGGAATGTACAGTTTATAACAAGTCTTCATTTTGTGTGTGTGTGTGTGAGAGAGAGAGAGACGTTTGTTGCTTGCAATCTCCATTGGGTTTTGCTAGATCCCCTTCCCCCCAAACAAGAGTCAAAACGTTCCTGACTTGGGTTTGCTGATCTAATGCTTTTCGGCCGTTCCACAACCATCCATTGTTCACTTTTGGTAGATCTCTGATGCGGTGTACAGAATGGTCTGTGACCAGGCAACAGCCCATTATGACTCATCAGTGGCCAGATGTGAGCTTCAGATTCCTGAAATGAAGAGCATCATCCGGACAGATATGGATCAGATCATCCAATCCAAGGAACATCTGGCAAACAAAATCCGAGGTGAGTAATGGTAGTGAGTGCCCTGTAATATCTACACCCAGTTGACTTTCTTGGATAATTCTGGGTTCTAGTCTTCTGCCATCCCAGTACAAGAGAGAGAGAGAGAGAGAGGGAGAGAGAGAGAGAGACTCTAGAAAGAGGACAGAGAAACAAAGTTAATTAGAGAGCTGGAATAGTGGTCCTCCAGATGTTGCTGAACTACACCTCCCAAAGTTGCCTATCGTTGCCCAAACCGGTTAGGTTCATTGGGAATGGCTTCCTGAAGATCTTGAGCAAGGTTAGATGTTCAAGAACATCTGGAGAACTACAGGTCCCCCATATCTACTTTCCTGGATGGAGATCCACCACCGTTCCTTTTCTCTTGGGCAATCTGGGTTGAGCTTGTTAGATTTCTTAAATAAAAATAGAAGTTGGCTCTTAGCAGTCCTTGTGCTGTGCTTCTCCTCCAGCCGTTGTCTTCTCCAAAGCTGAGGTCTGTGTCCGGAATCATGTCCAACCATACATCAGTTCCATCTTGGAAGCCCTGATGATCCCCACCAGCCAGGGCTTTGCTGAAGTTCGGGAAGTCTTTTTCAAGGAAGCCACTGACATGAACATGAATATTGTCAATGAAGGAGGGACAGAGAAGCTGGGAGAGGTAAGACAGATGTTGATGGGAACAAGGATGAGCAGATGAAGTTGTTCTTTTGAGTGGCAAAAGTTGATGGATCAATCTATCTATCTATCTATCTATCTATCTATCTATCTATCTATCTATCTATCTATCTATCTAATCTATTCTATCATCTATATCTCATCTATCTACCTACCTATCTCCTACCCTATCTGTCTGTCTATCTATCTATCTATCTATCTATCTATCTATCTATCTATCTATCTATCTATCTATCTATCTATCTATCTATCTATCAAGAGGGACAGTTGATCAAAATTGTCCTAGCTCTCTCTCTCTCTCTTTTTTTTTTTTTTTTACTTCCTGAAGGTTTCAAGTATACCAATTTGTGTGGAATAATCCTTAAATGGACTGAATGGCCCTTAGCAAGAGAGATGTTGGAATCTATCTTTAGGTTTTCAACATGCTGAAGTGTGGGACCTTCTAATCCTTCTTTCCCTCCCCCCCATCTAGTACATGGAGAAACTTTCTCAGCTAGCTTTCCACCCTGTGAAGATGCAATCATGCTATGAAAAGATGGACCAGTTGAAGCTGGAAGGTCTCCAGCAGAGGTTTGATGTCTCCAGTGCCTCCGTGTTCAAGCAGCGGGCCCAAATCCTGATGAGGCAGGTAAGGAGTGAAAGAGCTTGCTCCTACATCTTGCATCTCAGAAGCCATTGCTTATCTCCAGCATCTAAAGACAGAGGCCCTGCTCAAGAAGCTGTTGACAATCTATGAATGTACCCACTCATCTTTTCAAGCTGTCCAAAGAAATTTATTTATTTATTTATTTATTTATTTATTTATTTCATCAGTGTTAACCAGAGGTGGGCTGGGCACTTCCCAGCTTGTAAGACAACTGGAGCCCTCTAGTGACCAGGAAAGCTTTGTGTCTGAACATCATGACGGGAAGAAAAATAATTTTTCTCTCCATGTGCCATGCATGTTTTCATGGGCCTCTGGGTGTGGATCCCTCTTACCTTTTGCTCAAACATTAAAGAGCCTTTAATCTTTTTTCATAGAATTTCTATTTCAGCCTCTTGATTATTATTTTTTAAAGGATAGGTTTTTCCCGTCTCTGATGTGGAGGCATCTCTGCAATTATTCCCCATTTAGTCAACAGAAAGTGACATCCACAGAAAACCCAAAATAATGTCATCGTGCAAATCCTATTATTATATGCTTAAGTCCCAACTATCTGATGCAAATAACTAAGTAACAGCATTTGTGTAATAATCCCCTATCTTCTACCACCACCACCCCGCACACATATTCTATGCTAAACAGCTGTTGTTTCTTTTTTATATATCTCTTCCTTGTTTGATACTCTAGCAAATGGATGACACCGTCTACACTTTTGAGACTCTTCTACATCAGGAGCTGGGGAAGTCGTTGAGCAAAGATGAACTCTGCAAGACCATTCAGCGCATCCTGGAACGGGTGCTCAAGGTAAGGTTATCACCCCATCTTTGGGGTTGGGTTGGGTTGGATTGAGTTGAATTGGAATGGGTTGGGTTGAGTTGAGTTGGGTTGGGTTGGAATGGGTTGGGTTGGGTTGGGTTAGGTTGAGTTGGTTGGTTCCAATATCTCAGGGGCTGCCCCAAAGAAGAGGGAGTCAAGCTATTCTCCAAAGTGCCTGAAGGCAGGACAAGAAGCTTCCACGATCAGCTTCAGAAGCCTCGTTTGCGATTCTAAATCCTCTTTTGTCCCCAGAAATACGATTACGACAGCAGCACGGTGAGGAAGAAATTTTTCAGGGAAGCTCTGTTGCAAGTCACTGTCCCTTTCCTGCTGAAGAAGCTGGCTCCCACTTGCAAAGGGGTAAGAGTTGCCTCTTCGGGGTTGTATTTGGGGATTCACAACTTCTCCCATCGTGGTAAACAAAAGAGGTCCACGGAGGCTGCTCCCACAAAGACATACTTTAAAGGAGAAGTAAAGGGAGATTCTCAGACTTCCAGATTATTAGTTGTCTCCAAAGTGCTTTTTTTTCTGTAGGGAAGGAAAAATAGCTCCCACTACTACTATTAGTAGTACAAGTCAGGTCGGGAGCACCACAGTGCGTCCGGGTTGAAAGGTTGACAAGATTGAACGGTGACGTCATTGCTGCCTCTATTAGCTTCCACTAATAGGAAATCACAGATGCTCATTAAACATACGTTCCTTTATGAGGTCCTTGATGCTCTCTTGACGTTTCATGCCCCAGCTAGGTAAACTCATCAGTGATTGAAAGGACTGGGGTGTGTGAGGAGGAGGAGGAGGAGGAGGAGGAGGAGGAGGAGGAGGAGGAGGAGGACTGTGGAGTCCTTGATGCTCTCTGAGCTTGGTTGTTTTCTTGCAGATGCTTCACGACCCAGCTAAGTAACCTCATCAGTGATTGAAAGGACTGGGGTGTGTGAGGAGGAGGAGGAGGACGACGACTGTGGAGTCCTTGATGCTCTCTGAGCTTGGTTGTTTTCTTGCAGACGCTTCACGACCTAGCTAGGTAACATCATCAGTGCTAGTAAGATTTGCTCCCTGTTTATATGCATCAACACTGTTGATGTTACCTAGCGGGGTAGTGAAAGGTTTGCAAGAAAATAACCAAGCTCAGAGGTACTGGATATAAGCAGAGAGCAAGTCACACTAGCACTGATGAGGTTACCTAGTTGGGTAATGAAATGTCTACAAGAAAACAATCAAACTTAGATGGCACCAAAGACCTCCGAGTTGAACTCTGAGCTACAAATGCTATCAATGGCCACTCCTCTGTAGCTGGTTTGTGTTTACCAGAAAAGATGCAGATATCTAATATCTAACCCAAGAGGTAGTATATAATCCATTCTTACTTCAAAAGGCTCCTTAAAACTGGGGGGACCTGCTGGATTCCTATGGATGCTAACCTACCCTTGAAATCTGCCTTCTGGGCTTCTTATTTTCATTTGATCTGTCTTTAAAAAGAGAGAGGAGATGCTTTTAATTAAAATAAAATGACACGGCAGACTGACCTGCTTCAAACAAAGCCCCAGTGCTGAACATTTATTTCATTTCCAACAAAGACTTTATGGCCCATGTTGGCTTCAGGGCAGAAGAGTGTCCCTGATCACACCTGCTGTTTCTAAATAGTTGTTTCTCCTAGCTCAAGGACACCTTGAGCTGCTCTCCAAATTTGTTGTGGAGAGCAGAAGAGTTGCCGCGTAAAGTAATGTGGGCCAAAGATTTGACTTCTCTTCTAAGAGCAGATCCTAAACGCTGTATCCCTGTGGGCCTTATGTCTAGGGCAGGGGTTCTCAACCTTGGCAACTTTAAGACTTGTGGACTTCAACTCCAAAGCTGGCTGAGGAATTCTGGGAGTTGAAGTCCACAAGTCTTGCCAAGGTTGAGAACCCCTGGTCTAGGGTAACTTCTCAATGGCCTGCTTTTGTCTCATTAGGACCTCTCAAGATTCCAGGAGCTGATTTTTGAGGACTTTGCCCGCTTCATCCTGGTGGAAAACACATATGAAGAGGTGGTCCTGCAGTCTGTGATGAAAGATATCATGATGGGTAAGAGACTTTGGTTCGGTTTTGATTGAGTAGGATTGTAGCGGATTGGAACCAGGTAGGAAAAGATGTTGTTTGCACCTCCTACTGTCACGGAGGGACACCTTTGTAAACTGTCTCTCCAACTTCAAGGCTTTCAGAGATGTTACCCTGATTCCTATTATTCTAAACTGGATGGATAGGTGGGTGGGTGGATGGATGGATGGATGGGTGAGTGGGTGGGTGGGTGGGTGGGTGGATGGATGAATGAATGGATGGATGAGTGGAGGGATGAGTGAGTGAGTGAGTGGATGGATGGGTGGATGATGAATGGATGATGGATGGATGGATGAGTTGGGTGGATGGATGGGTGGGTGGAGAGATGGATGGATGAGTGGATGAGTGGGTGGATGGAGGGAGGGAGGGATGGATGGATGGATGGATGATGGATGGATGCATGAAGTTCCCCTAACCAACATGGTTTGCTGGATGTAATGGAAGAATCCCATAGTTCTGTGGAACACTGGCTTGGAAAATATTCCCTAGCTATTATTTAGTTTAGGATATAGAAGTTTCCATCTGCATTTGTCCCATTGTCAACTGCTATCATTGAAACATTTAAGATTTAGACAATAGTATGTTCTTATAGGGTTAATGCATTATTTTCTGATGTTGTTATTGTTTTTTTTTTTAAAAAAATGGAGAACTGGTAGCCTTACTTGACTTTCAACACCTTGCTTCTTTTCCTTTCATGCCTGTTTCAGCTGTGAAAGAGGCAGCCGTCCAGAGGAAGCACAACCTGTACCGCGACAGCATTGTGATGCATAACAGCGACCCCAACATACATTTGCTTGATGAGGGGACGCCCATCAACTGGGGAGAGGAGTATGGTGGTGAATCAGACGTAGACCCTTTGGACGAGAAGCAGCACCGGGCCAAGCAGGTTGTCTCCATGATCCACGTGGATGAAAGCGCTCTGCCCTGTGAAGTTGGCTCTTTGGAAAGATCTCCAGATGGCTCAGAACCAGAGAAGTCCGACCGCTGTCCTAGTCCTCAGACACAGGATTCCTCTGAGCCTGTGAAGGAGCTCCGTACGTTGCTGGTGAAAGAGGTGGAGATCCCAATTCCAGATGACCATAAGGCTGAGGAACAATTACACAACGGTACTATTACACAAGAGAGCGGAGGAACCCCGGAGCCCAGGAAGAAGGAGACCTCTCAAGCAGAAAATGGTTGTACCACAGAATCCTCCACAGAGCTCCATAGAGAGAAACAGGAAGCCCCAGCCCCTTCCCCAGTTGCCCCCACACAACTCCCAGCTCCAGATGGAGGAATCCAAGCAGAATGCCCGGAACCCGCCAATAAAGAGACAGGCGAGGAACAGGTCTCTGCTCAAGCCAGCAAGGTAGAAGCAGAGATCCCAGTGGAGAACAGCCCCAAGGTCACAGATGAAAGCGAAGGGGTGCAGACTCAGTTCTAGATCAGCCTCCCCCTTGGAAGAGGATTCCTCATGGCCAGATAAACACTAACAAACTGGGGGCCCTGTAGGATGAGAAGGACAAAAGCAAGTTGATCCAAGGACAGTGTAGGACCATCTTCAGCTGTAGATGCCCTTGATTCTTCTGGAGAAGTTCTGCCTTTGGAGGAGGGGGAGGGAAGGAAGGAATTGCAAGGGAGGAACCCCAGAATGCACATTCTACATCTCTTGGGTCCAAGGTGATTTTTTTTCTAGCCTTTTCTTGTGTTTCCCACAAACAGGCGCACACACTAGTTCTCCTGACTCAACGTTGTGTGGTTGGTTTGGGTGTTATGGAGAAGGGACTTCACCTTAGATGCTAACAAATGCCTGGAGGGTTGGAAGAGAGAGAAGCCATGGTGTTTCCCCATCTTGATCCAGACTGGTACTAATTTGACTTTTTGACCCGTAACTTGGTTTTGATGTTTCATCCCTTTGCCTTCGTCTAACCATGGATGGTAGAAGGCTCTTTCTCCTGTTTGGGGCGGGGGTGGTCATTTCTTCTCCTCACCAATGTTCACAATTAGGAACGGTTCTCTCTTAACTTCTTCTTTTCTGGGCCCTCCTATTCCAGATGATTTTAGCAAACCATCCTAGAATTGATGTGGGAGGTGGTCAAATTGCGTTCTTCTCCCCCCCTCCCTGCACCAATCTCAGTCCAAAGTTACGCAGAGATGGAAAGCCCTAGTTCCAGGAGAAAGTAAGTTGACTTTTAGAAACATGTGGATGTGGGTTAGAGAAAGTGGTGTGTGCTGTTGAAGGCTTGCTGGTGTTGGAACAGACCAGCAAAAGTTGACAGATAAGACAAGACTAATATAGGAATTTAAGTTATTTCAGTGGGGACCGCTGGCTGAGATGTCTTATGTCTGAACCGGTCAGCCAAGGATGCACCATGAAAACAAATAACCAGTATATGCCATGCTAATGTAGGATCGTTCATGAGTTGGTTATCTTGGTCTGCTCAGGTATCCTTGGTTTACCTGCACAGATGCTCTGCTGAGTGAATGTTTGTTTTTCTGTGTATTTCCCCTCTCTTCCCAGGGAAGCAAAGCAGCAGAATAATCTTAGAAGCAGCCAGCAGAGATCCTATAAAAGGACCCTATAAAGAGAGATCCTATGTGCGCGAGTCTTCAGCCTAGTGGGAAGTCATTGAGGTTGCAATTTTTTTTTTTTAAATGCACTTGGTGTGGTGGCAGTTAACAATTTTTTGGGGGGACACAAAAGGGAAAACGGTATTACTTTTAGCTTCGGCAGTTTCTGGAAAGTTATGTTTAGCAACTCAGTCGTGTTCTTGCAGGGATGATGTAAGATCACTGGCGTTCTTTCAATAGGACCTCATTCCCTGTCAATTTAGGAGTCCCTGTTGCTTGCGTGACATGGGCAAAAGTGAAATAAAAGGTAGGGATTCAGGAGAATCCCATCCTGCCTTTATAAACAGAGTGTATTTTCCTCTCTTCTACCTAAACCTGTGAAGTGGATTGAAAGTTGGAAGCTACCCTGAGCTTCCAACTTCCAGCAATGGATTTATTAAATACCAATCTAATCCACATTTATACACATAGACACACCTCTACTACTCATCCATCTACTCATCCATCACTGGAGAACTTCAGAGAATATGGTTGGGCTTTTGGTTTTTCACCTCCTTGAAGGACCAAGTTTTATTCTTGTTCAACTTCAAGTTCCATCTTGAGAACTTCAGTCAACCCCTAAGTCATAGTGAGCCAGGAACCTGGCAACATCTGGATGGTTTCTGTTCTGAAGGAGATGTTGGTATAGTTCAACTTGGATTCTTCTCGACACTTACTAATAGCGAAGGGTGGCTTCTTCTGTCTTCTGGGAAAGCCATAGTCCCCTTCCAAGTTAGCGATGAAGGTTTCTGTCTTAAGAATCTCCACGTTGACTGGATCGATTGATGAACGGGCCTACAAGAAGTAATTTCCCCAAGGCCTTCACCCCCATAAGATGGAAAATAACTCTCTCCTTGTTGATTTTTCTCCTTCTTCTCCTCTGTTTTCATGGATGGGAAGTACAAAATATGGGTGCCTCGTCACGTGCTTCGCCCTGAGTCAGTCCGGATCTGCTGGCAGAAGATTGCTCTTTTGAGAGGGCTTCCATAATCTCAAAATAATAATAATAATAATGATTGAAATTCAACTTCTAGGAAATTGTGGTGCCAACTGAGGAAGGGAGCCCTTTTCAAACCAGGCAGATGATCTTCATTAGATCCAGAAATAGGAAGACTCTTTGGGAAATTGCCCATGATCCAAACATCTCAACACTGCCCACCTCATCCTGATTTGCTGCTGTAACGTTCCAATTTCACCCTGTTTTTTTTTTAATATTTGTAGTCATTCCTCTTTGAAATGATTGTGGAGAGTGAGAAAGAGAGGAGAAAACACTCACTCGGATTTTATATTTTGTCCTCTTTTAATGCCTTCTGGTTAGGAACCAAAGCTTCTTTTCCTCCTGTTTCTCTCTCTCAACGAAGATAGTATATATTGCAAATCTTATACCAAATGTTTAAGAGAATGTGCTTATATATATTAATAAAAAAAATCAGCTTTATTTAATGCTAGTTCAGCCCATCTCCTCTTTTATAAAAACATCTGTCTAAAAGACTGCGGTTTTGCTCTGTGTGTGTTCTCTCCAACTGGTGGGATTCCTCTTTTACGAAAGTTTACAAAAACGCATTGCCTAATTTGGGGGCAGGACTGGCTCCTCATTCATTTTTCAAGAGACGGGAGTTTTCAGCCTTGAGGTGGAGAATGCTATTCTGACTGTGTTCACCAGTTTTATCAAGTTTGCCTGGCCTTGCCAGACAGGGAAATTAAACTGCACGGGAAAAAGTTGTTGCGTGATTAGACACACATACACAAAGACATGATAACCTACTCCCCTCTAAGTTAAAACGATTAAGCTACTCATTGAGAAAGTATTCATAGATAATTAGTAATACATTTATTGGATTTTTTTTTTTTAAAAAATACATTTCATACTTGCTTCAGTTTTAACATGGATTTAAGTAGGTGCTAGTGATGTGCAAAATTCCATTGCAAGGGACTCTGCCTTTCTCTTCCAGAGTATACAATTCAGGGATGACCTAACGTTTTGTTTTGTTTTTTTGGAATGTGATTTTTCAGCCTCTCCAAAATAACCGTGGTCTAGAACAGACATGTCAAACACAAGGCCTGGGGGCCGGATGTGGCCCGCGAAGTGGTTTCATGCGGCCTGCGAAGCCATCCTGGAAACAGTGAGGGAACGGCCCCGCTGCCTTGGCCCTGGCCCAGGCCAGCCAGGAGCCAATGTACAATTTTGTGGTGGCCCTCTATGCTGAAACACATTCAGTCTTGGCTCCATAAGCCACCCCCCTGCATGGCCTGAGAGGAACAATGAGGTTCCTCCAGTGGACCATGCCTTGGCACTTGCCCTGGTCCCACCTCCTTCTACCAGAGACCCTCAGATCTGTCCCACTCCTGCCCAGGCCCCCACAGGCACCCCCTGGTCTAGAAGCAAAAGGAGACAAGTCTGGAATTTCTTGGAATGTTTTACTCCCCAGAAAGGAATGCTCAACACTTTTATAACTGGTGCCAATCAATTCAACACATAGAATTGCAAGGAGATTCGTGAAGGTAACTTACTTAAAACTACGCAAGTAAATTAAGACGTCAGACCTTTGCCTGCTAGCCTGTTAAATTGTTCATCGCTGAATGCAAAAGAACAGTTGGAAGGGACCTTGGAGGTCTTCTAGTCCAACCCCCTGCTCAAACAGGAGAATCTATACTGTTCCGGACAAATGGCTGCTCAAAATGGCCCATCCGTGTAATTGCCATCCAGGCCCTATTTATACTGACTATTAGAGATGGCAATTCCAAAGATTTAGGGCAAATGCTTGGAGAGGACTCAGTTCTATCACATTCTAACTTGAGTAGGATATTCTGCTAATTTTAGCCCAAGACTATTGCGCTAGTCCTTATTGATATTGTCCAGATGTGTGACACCTTAACTCTCTTTTTTGGACATGCGAGTCGGAAACGGAGGAAACCGCAACTTCATGACTGAACACGCTAAGAATTTGTCTCGTTCTCTTCCCACCTCTAAATCATTATTTTAAAACACCTATATAGTGATCACGACTCTTCTTTCTTGGCCCTGAGGTCCTCGGGTTAGTGATCCAGCCTGTGAAAAAGGTGGTAAAGAATCTGACTGCTCCTTATTTTGACAGCACGTTGGCTTAATGAAAACATCTGGGAGAAGTTTAAAAAAAAGGGCAGAATAAGCACTGAGAATAGAAAGACCGGATCTGTTAAAAGTGCTGCAGATCGTGGTGTTGGCGAACGGATTCTTTCAAGTGTGCTTGGAAAGCTTGCAAAGCTTATTCTCTACTCTAGATCAGAGGCCCCCAAACCGGTTCCGTGGAGAGGGATTTTTCCACGGACCGGAGGGTGTGTGGTTTTGTGTGCTATCTGCATCCCATGGATGGGGCTTTGCTTGTTTGTGCGGCCCAGTTGCTGGCGTGCCGAGGCCCGGTACCGATCCACGGACTGGGGATTGGGGACCCCTGCTCTAGATAATAGGATGCTTATCCCCATCACTCCCTTCAAGGTTAGGGGGCAACATTTGCCCCTCCGTCCTGCCTTTCTACATTTCCGCTGGCCGCTTTATTTTCCAAGCAAGTTAGAATTATGCTGATGAGCTTTAAGAGGCACCAAAGATAATTTGGTCAGAGCTACCCCATCCCAAACACATTCGGTAGGGCTTGAAGGCAACCTCTGCGACAATCATACTGTACTCTTAGATGGCGATGAGGGCCCTCTCCTTGAAATTCACTTTCTGGGCCACGAGAAAAGTCATTTTTAAGGCACTTAGGAAAAAAAAAATGGCTTGAAATTGGAAGCACAGTTGCTACTTTAGAGGATTAGAAGTTGGACAATGTCCTGTCGGCTGAGACGAGAGATAAAATCAAGCTCAAAGAGATCCTCAGCTCTCTCGTGGGGAGGAATTGTCCCCATAGAAGCCGTTCCAGTTGCAAAATCCGGGCGATTTGCAGTCTTGAGCGTTCTCTCCAAGAAGCTTCCACGCTGCTATCTGAGGCACAGTAGCGGATACGCCACGAAGTATCCGATGGCTGAACCAGCAATCACGCCCAGGAAAATCCACGTGTTGTAAGTCATGACGGCCAGCATCACTAGGTAGCCCAAAAACACCTGTACCATGTGGAGGAAGGTCTCGGCTAGGTGCCACGAGAGACGCCTTTGGAAAGAAGAAAACAAGGTGTCTTCAGCAAGTGAGTAAACAGATTTTTAAAAAAAATGTTCTGCTCTCTATCTTCCCTCTGTCCTTTTTCTATTCCTCCCGAAGGCAAACTTAAGGGTGTTTTAACTTAATGAGGTTCCTTGTGTAGGGTTTCTGCCAACTAGGCCTTTTAGAACCTAGATTATAGAACAATACGGTTGGAAGGGAACCTTGGAGGTCTTCTAGTCCAACCCCCGCTTGAGCAGGACATTTCTGGAAACAGAAGAGAAGAGAACAAGAGAAAAAAGAGAATAGAAATATAGTATAGAAGAACGGAATAGACTAGAGTGAGCAAGCTCAACCGAGCCTTGCCAGCGTTGGCTCCATTAACACAAAGGGGCTTTGATCACCCAAGACTCGAAAGACAAAAGATGCTTAAAAAGCTGTTTGGTGTGGCTGTGATCCAGCTTATACACCTATCTTGGACAAAACTTGGAACACGGGAGTGGCAGCTGCTGTAGATGCTTACCTGAGGTTCAGCTAAAGCAGGGGTGGGCAACCTTGGCTCTTTTAGGACTCGTGGACTTCAACTCCCAGAATTCCTGAGCCAGCCACGCTGAGGGGAAAGGGAGAAGTTTCCAAGCTGAGCCATGGCTGGCTCAGGAATTCTGGGAGTTGAAATCCACGAGTCCTAAAAGAGCCAAGGTTGCCTACCCCTGACCTAAAGGAAATAATGGGACTTCCAACGGGCAGGGCTGAAGGACCATTGTTTCCAGTGGGTCTTTTCTAAATAGGGTACCAATAAAGAGGAATAATTATAGCTCAGGGTGGAAATCAAGGGATCCTTGATGCTCTCTGAGCTTGGTCATTTTCTTGCAGACGTTTCGTTAGCAAGATAGGTAACTTCATCAGTGCTAGAAAAGAGTGGGATCCCCACTCCCTTCTAGCACTGATGATGTTACCTAGTTGGGTGATGAAATGTCTGTAAGAAAACAAGCAAGCTCAGAGAGCACCAAGGACCCCACAACTTTTTTCCTCTCCTCCTCCTCCTCCTCTTAGCAAACCCCACTCCCTTCTAGCACTGATGATGTAATTTAGTTGGGTCATGAAACGTCTGCAAGAAAGCCACTAAGCTCAGAATGCACCAAGGACCCTACCCCCCCTTCCTCCTCCTCCTCCTCCTCCTCCTCCTCCTCCTCCTCCACAAAGCCCACTCCTTTCTAGCATGGATGACGTAACTTAATTGGATCATAAAATGTCTGCAAGAAAACAACCAAGCTCAGAAAGCATCAAGGATCACACAGTCCTCCTCCTCCTCTTCTTCATCCTCCTCCTCTTCCTCCTCCCCCCAGCAAAAAGATGCTCTTCCTCCTCCCCCCATTCACCTCTAGCACTGAGGATGTTGCCTACTTTGGCAATGAAACGTCTGCAACAAAACCACCAATCTCAGTGAGCACCATGGGCCCCTTTAAACAGAGCCTCCGCAAGTGGCAGCGCTTAGCTGATCTTGTAAATAAAATAAAATAAAACAAATGAGCAGAGAGCTTGCTTAATGCATGAAAGATTTTGGGGAAATCTGAGACTTAAACTGAATGTTGGAAGGGCCGCCCCTGACAGGGCAGAAGTGGAAATATTCCCCAGCTCTGGCTTGCTAAAACGAAAGGCAACCAGATCGACATGTCCCTATATATAATCGGGAGCCAAACTTCAACTGCATCAGATTGCATCTTTTTCATCTTTTATAGATTCTTATCCGGCCCGAATAGCTTTTTTTCCCCTTTTCGAATGACGGAATGTTTGACTCAGCCTTGACACCCACAGCTAGAGAATGTTTATCTATTCCCCTTTGAAGAAAAAAAAAAAACGTACGGTAAAAAGCTTGCTGAAAAAGTTTTTGTTTTGAGAACGTGAACGATGTAAACAGGGAGGCTGTTTTGCAGGTTTGTGGGTTAGCGCAATCCCAGCTCTTCCCAGCCTTCCAACAAAGGTGCCCTTTGTGCAATGGGCATTGCGGCTTCCAAAATGATGCGCCAGATGTAATTGGAAGAGGGGGGGGGAGAAGCAATAACACACAAACACAAAGGCACACACAGCGTTCTCCTTACTTCTTTAGAGAGCTGGTGGTGGGCCCCACATCTGAGTTCATGGAGACCCCTTCTCTCAAGTTCTCCTGACTGATGCTAGGGGCCACGGCCGTCTGGGAATGCTGGATCAGTTTTGCCTTGCCAACCTTGATACCTTCATATATCACGGTGAGTAGCATGATCAGGAAAACGGAGAGCACCATCCCTGTTAAAAACACAGCAGAAACACTGGTAAGGGCTAACAAAGGAGAATAGAATATGGAACACAGACTAGCAGAGTTGGAAGGGACCTTGGAGGTCATCTAGTCCAACCCCCTTGCTCAGGCAGGAAACCCCATACTATTTCAGACAAATGGCTGTCCAGTCTTTTCTTAAAAACCTCCAGTGATGGAGCACCCACAACTTCTGGAGGGAAGCCGTTCCACTGATTTAATTGTTCTCACTGTTAGGGAAATGTCTCCTTAATTCTAGGTCCGTTGCTTCTCCTGCCTTCAGATGCTTTGGAGGATAGCTTGACTCCCTCTTCTTTGTGGCCACCCCTGAGATATTGGAACCCTGGAGAATATTTGTAGCTCAAGATTGGAAAGAAGAGTCCTTGGTGCTCTCTGAGCTTGGTGGTTTTCTTGCAGTCCTCCTCCTCCTCCCATAAACCCCATTCCTTACTAGCACTGATGATGTTCCCTAGTTGGGTCATGAAACATCTGCAAGAAAGCCACCAAGCTCAGAGAACACCAAGGAGCCATCCCTGGTAAGGGCTGTTGGGTGGAAGGGAAGTAGGTTACCTTCTAAGCGGGCTCTAATCAACTTCATATATTGTTAAGACCGGGGAGGAGGAAAATAGATCCCCTCCCCCATTTTAGACAAAAATGTTGTTGCTTTAACCATTCGACTCTTGGCAACTTTACAGCCAAGTGCTCTCCACACTTCCTTCTCAAGCAGGGCTTCCTCCAGTTGTTGGCTGGTTCGTCTTTGTATCAGTTTTGATCTCATCAAGCCAGATGTTGTCTCTGCTTCTCCTGTCTTCTTGCTCTACCAACTGTTCCTAGCATCATGTCTACGGAGGTTCTTCGTCCTCCAGTCCTGGTTGTCCCAAAGGTGCTTTTTCAGGAGGCAACTGGACTTCCTTGTTTCTCTTTGAAGACGTTTCTCTTCTCATCCCAGAAGCTTCTTCAGCTCTGACTGGAGGGTGGGGAATGGAAGGACTTATATTCCTCAAAGAAAAACAAAGAAGTCTAGTTGCCTCTTGCTAGCATCATGGACGTCTTCAATGAACTTGCACGCATGACCTGGCCAAAGTAAATGAGAGGTAGCTATGTGATTTGAGTTTCTAATGATAGGTCTGGGTTTACACAATTCGACACCTGGTTGTTCTGGCTACCCAGGGCATGCACAATAATTTATGCCAGCACCACAATTCAAAGGCGTCAATTCTTAGACCAAAATACTAGAGGTGCCACGGTGTGAACTTGAGAGACAGCTTGCAAGACGCAAGGAGACCCATCCCTAGCGAAGGGGCCCCAGCCCCAGCTAGCTAACATAGGCACTGGGAGTTATAGTTCAGCAAAATCCAGCAGCTTTTGACGCTTTGCTCTTCGGCAGGCCCATCGGTGTGGGGCAAAGACGTGAGTACGACAAAACAGCCACCTCCAGCTTTTGTCTGCTTGGGAGCGAAGGGTACAATTAAGGCAGGGAATTGAGTTTCTTCCCAGGGTTGAACAACTTGGCTTAACTCCCTGGATTTTCTCCTTCTCTTCTGACTCCTGGGGGGGGGGAACAAAAGTGCTTTTCACCACCCTCTTCCTGCTGAGAAATGCTGCCTTGTCAGGCCAGAGTTGAGTAATGAAATCGTTGTCTCCGTTCATCTTGATGCCTTAATGAAAAGCCACGGTTCTTCTTTGTTTCTGGATCAACCAGCCTCACCAGATCGGATCTTGCCAAAGCCAACAAGATCAGGGATGGGACCGTCCTATTTACCAAAGCTCGCCTTCTTTATTTTGGAACCGGTCTGATTTGGTTGCCAGGACTCCTGAGCAGAAATTGATGGAAGCCTCTTAAGCCGATCTGATGTTCTAGACTTCTAGACAAGATCAGGATAGAAAGCTGGTCTGGCTGCACACTCGCGCATCAGCTGCCAGCAGCGTCTTGATTTCCCAAGAGCTGGATTGAAGTTGCACGAACAGGTTAGGAAAGAAAAGTTAGAGATGAGGGCTTCTGCTAGGCTTTTCATTTGGAAAGCCACCCCTGCATGCCAAGGAGAAATAAAATGGAGACGGGAGTGGTTAGTGAGCATTCTAGAGCATTAGAAAATGGTGGCAAATATCTGGAGCTCGGGTGTAGGATGAGGGTGAAGGTTCGTGCCCCGAGCTTGTGGGTTGGTTTCCGAACGTTTTCGTTAACAGGCTAGGTAACATCTTCAGTGGCATCTCTCCAATTTGCTTCTGTGACGGGGCAGACCTAGCTGGTATGCTTGGCAAATCATAACAGAGTTGGAAGGGACCTTGCAGATCTTCTAGTCTAACCCCCTGCTCATGCAGCAGACCCTATAACATTCCAGACAAATGGTTTTCCATTCTCTTCTTAAAAACTTCCAGTGTTGGAGCATTCACCGCTTCTGGAGGCAGGTTGTTCCACTGGTTAATTGTTCTCACTGTCAGGAAAATTCTCCTTAGTTCTAGGTTGCTTCTCTCCTTGATGAGTTTCCATCCGTTGCTTCTTCTCCTGCCTTCAGGTGCTTTGGAGAAGAGGTTGACCCACCCCCTCTACTTTGGGGCAGCCCCTCAGATATTGAAACACTGCTATCAGGCTGCCCCTAGTCCTTCCTTTCACTAGACCTACCCAATTCCTGCATGTTTGATGTCTTTGTTTCTGATTTGCCCTGTGGCTTATTTGATAACCTAGCTATAGTTGCGAAAGTGGGACCTTAAGAAAGCAAGACCTGAAGAAAATCATTTTCCGAAGGAGCTCCTTGGATGGGAAGCGAAACATCTTCAAAGGAAAATAAGAAAGTCCAGTTCCCCCTGAAAAAAATACACCGTTGGGATAACATCGCCAGCGTACTTAAGCAAATCCTTGCAATATAAACATGGCTGTTCTCCTTTCGTGTTGCATTTGCAATACTTAAGACTCTTCAAAAAAAAAAAAAAAAACTCTTAGAATTCCACAGAGGACAGTTGAATTGTGTTCAAAGCAGTTGCTATGAATCTTGTAGCTAGCCTGGGTCCTTCAAGTTCATTTTTTGGGGTTCTGGGAAAACACTCTCAAGTCGAGTGTTTGAAGGAAATCTGAGATGTCAATAGGGCAATTATCCCTAACTGCCCTTCCCTCATGGCTAAAGCTCAGATTTCGTACAATCAGTCCAGGCTGAAAGACCTTTTTTTTGGGGGGGGGGGGGTTGGGCAGCTCCTGTTTTCCTTAGATAAGTTCGTTTGCTCACCTCCCGGGCTGTGGACATCCCAGAAGTCAAACAGGAGAATCACTTTGTCTGAGAAAAAGAAATGCATCTGTAGGGAAAGTGGAGGCGAAAGAAAACACAACAACATGTTAATATCTGCACGTCTTTGGTGGCTAGACCTTAGTTAATTCCAATTGACTTGCTGCTCTTAGATCTGGACTCTAACCATTTAAGGGACGTAGAGACCGTGTAGGTCTCTAATCCAACTCCTGACCCAAGGCAAGAGTCCTTACACTATTGTGGAGAAATGGAGGTCCAATCTTTCCTGGAAAACCTCCCGTGATGGAACACCCACAACTTCTTGAGGCAACCCGTTCCACTGGTTAATCATTCTCACTATCAGGAAGTTCTTCCTTGGCTGCAGGTTGTATGCTGAACTTCCATCCATTGCTTCTTGTCCAACCCTCGGATTACAGAGAGTAAATCAATGGCTTGTTCCCAGGGGCAGCCCTTCAAGTATTGGAAGACAACTATCATGTCCTTCCCCCAAAATCCTTCTCTTCATTAGACTAAAGCTAACTAAACATAGCCTGACTTGTCCACCACTTCTGTTGTCTAGCCATGAAGTTTCCCATAATTTCATTTTACCTTTGCACTTCTTTGAGATAAGTGGACCCATTTCCAAACAAAACTCTGGTTTCTGATCTAGAGAGAGAGGGGGGGAGGGAGAGGGAGGGAGAGAGGAAGGGAGAGAAAGAAAGAAAGAATAGATAGATAATTAGATAGATAGATAGATAGATAGATAGATAGATAGATAGATGATAGATAGATAGATGATAGATAGATAGATAGATAGATAGATAGATAGATAGATAGGGAGGGATGGATAGGGGGACGGAGAGAGAAAGAGATGGAGGGAGGGAGGGAGAGCAAGAGAGATGGGCAGGCAGGCTCATTGGACTTCATATACAGTAATTAAAAAAAGATTGTTAGTGGAGGCAAATTTACAATTTGTTTTTTTTTTTTGGTGTGTGTGTGTGTGTGTGTGTGTGTGTGTGTGTGTGTGTGTGTAAAGGAATACAGTCTGAACAGGATAAAATCAGATGTAATGGAACGGCTAATAGGCAACTGGATGCAGATTACCGTCCATGTTTAATCTCTCAGCATGCTGGTTAGTATGAAACAATAGGCTGACTCTGGATGTGGTAATTATTGATCACGTGAGCTTTTTTTCTGTGTGGGAAACCCATGATTATCTGTCATCTTACTCTTCCTAACTAAGGCTTCTGCTTTTCCTTCCCATCGGGCTTTTAAAAGCCGTTTGCAAATACAGCTGGTCTTTCTGCAAAGCATTGAAAACCTGGAGTTCTCAGTTTGTACCTTTGTGACTGGAGCCAAATTCCACCCTCCCTCAGAAAGGCTGTTACAAGTTGTTGTTGTGAACAACAACAACAAATAATAAGAAAACCAACCAGTCACTGGGGACAGACGTGGAACCAAAGTCAGGGTAGAGACAATATTGGCGTCTCATCCAAAAGGATTCCCACAACAATTCTTCCCGCTTTTCCTTTCCCACTCCAAAAATCTCCACGTTTGCAGCTTGATCCTTTTGAAAGGGAACTCACAACAGTGCAATATTGCTAGAGGGCTGGACTAGAAGACCTCCAAGGTCCCTTCCAGCTTCTATTCTATTCTATTCTATTCTATTCTATTCTATTCTATTCTATTCTATTCTATTCTATTCTATTCTATTCTATTCTATTCTATTCTATTCTAAAATGGGGCACAACTCATTTAAGAAATGTCTCATTTAGCAACAGAAATGTTGGACTCTGTTGAGGTCATAATTGAGCCTCTCCATGTTCAGTTTTGTCTTGGCTGAGGCTCTTCCATGCCCCGATCTGAGAAAGCATTCGGAGGCCTTGTCTCCCAATCTTGGCATTTGTGCTTCTTGTTACCTGGAGTTTGCCAAGGTTTGGGCAGGTATTTAGGCGGGACTGGATTTGCCTAGGTGTGGTAACAGTGAACACAAGTGGAGGAGGAAAAAAAACCAACACCCACACTGGCCAACAACAACAGCAGCAGACGGTTTCTCAATCTGCAAGGGAGATTTCTGGATGGAAGTAGCGACTCTCAAATCAGCCGGTTCTTTGTGTAACTACTCCAAGGAAACTGTGGGAGGAAGTTTAAGAAGAGGGGTTCTCCCACACTCGCGTAAATTCCGAAACTAGAAGGAAGGTAACACACACACACACACACACACACACACAGAGAGAGAGAGAGAGAGAGAGAGAGAGAGAGAGAGAGAGAGAGAGAGAGAGAGAGAGAGAGAGAGAAACAATCCAGCTTGGATACATTGTGTTTTTGAGGGTCCTTCGTGCTCTCTGTTCTTCGTTGTTTTCTTGCAGACGTTTCATGACCCAACTAGGTAACAGCATCTAGGCCACCCAACCAAAGAACCACCAAGACCACTCCCACATACTCTTAACTGGAATATAAATTGAGAGCAAACTCCACTCTCTACTAGCACTGCTGAAGATACCTAGTTGGGTCACAAAACGTCTGCAAGGAAACAACCCACCTCAGAGAACACCAAGGACCCCACTGTCCTCCTCCTTCTCCTCCTCTTCACAGACCCCCATCCCCCTCTAGCACTGATGATGTTACCTAGTTGGGTCATGAAACATCTGCAAGGAAACAACGCAGCTCAGAGAGCACCAAGGACCTGTATAGTTCAACCCTGAGTCTACAGACATTCTCCTTTATAAATTGTGTCTGTGAATTTATGAAAGCAGTTCTGGAGAAGCAAAATATAGACTGTTTAGGCCCAGCGCCCTAGAAAACCCAGGTTGAGAGTCTAGAACCCAGTTGGTCAAGCAGATGTTTTCGGAAAGTTCTCCAACCAAATTATAAAATCATCCCTGTCTCTGAATGTGATTTCTCCTATTCTCCCCCCTCCCCAATCAAGGATAGACCTCCCACTCAAAATGGGTCTTCCACCTCCTATTTTTGCTAATGGCCACTTTTCGGCTTCTCCTGTTTTCTATTCCAGCATTCCCCAACCTTTCCAGCTTTGTGGACTGGCGGCGGTGGGGAGAAAGGATAGCACACATACCCACTGCTCACAAATGGAGCTTCATACATTCGCCCGCTGCTCACGTAAGTGTAGCTGTGCGTGTACGCTCACCTGCTACTTCCGCAGCCCGCTTCTGAACGGGCCATAGCCCGGGGGATTGGAGACCCCTGTTCTATTCTCTTTTGTACCTTCCTCCCCCCTCCCAGACCAAATAACACAACTGCGCTTGTGACAGCGAGTTCCTTGCAGGACAGTCGCTAAGCCCTCAGAAAACCAAGCAAGCAGTGGGTTAGTGTTAGTCCTCAGTTTCCCCCCCCCCCCCGTCTGGTGTCACAGCTGAGCAAGGAAAGAGGAACACGGTGTGTAAATTGGCCTCCAGAAGTTTTTGCAATGTTTTCTCCTACTGGAGAACCTTAGACGTGGGTGTCCGATTCAAAGATATCAGCACTGGTTGACATTATGGGAGAACAGCTGTTTTAGCAATGGCTCAAAAGCTTCAGGAATCTGCTAGCCATTTTTCCCAACTTTCTGTTAAGGATATCGGCTTTCGTCAGGACCAAGGTGCCCCAAATTTTGTCTTTTAATAAAGAAAGTTTGTTGGAAAAGGCGCTACCAGATTCCGGGTCTCTCCCCCCCCCCCGTCTAATATCTGAACTCACTGACTCTTAACTCTAAGAAGTTGTGTAGGTTTCCATTTGTACGGAGTCCCACAGTTGGTTGACCAAGCTATCTGTTTTAATCACATCTCACTTGCCTTTCTGGTTTATATTCCCCTTTGCCCTTTGAGTTACATTTTATATCTTGCTTTGTTGATGAAGTATTTTATATCTTGCTTTGTTAATGAAGTAGCTGCATAACAAACATTTTTTTTTAAAAAAAAACAAAACAACTTAAAGAGATCAGGAAGAACTTTGAAACTGACACAACCATCCTGGATGTATATAATACACTCTTTTTGTAACAGTTTTTTTTTTTTTATGACAAAGTAACAGCTAAGCAAAACATTTATTTTAGCAAAGAACCCACAGATCAAAATAAAAGACAGACACTGGACGGGGAGACTGAGAAAGAGTTTCAATCAATGGGCGAGTCCCTATTTTGCTACTTAACTGGGAGAAGTGATACAAGATTAAAGGGATCGACTGATTCATAGTCGATCCAGTCTCCCCCCCCCGTTTTTTTTTTTTTTTTTAAATAGCAGAGATGACATTTCTGATCATCAAGATTTTTGATGGGGAAGCCACGGGTTTAATGTTATTGCGGATTGACAGAAAGAAAGAGCAGAAAAAAACAAACTGAAAATAGACTTACTGGCATCATTGTGCTTTCTTTTCTTTTTTCCCCCCTCCACTTCTTTTAGCTGCTTTTGTGTGTTTTTTTCCCTAGTAGAAAAAGCAGTACACCAAGCTGCGGGCGAGTGAACGCGATCCTTAAAAGTCTTTGCTCGGTTTCTGTTCGCCCCAGCTCTGCAGGGTTCCGCCTTTGGCGAGAGTCACCAATCTGGGGTTAATGAAAATAAAGTCAAGAGATATGCTTGCAACAGAGGCTTCTGCAAGCTATGACGCCAGCGGGAGGCGCAAGGCATGCTGGGGACTGTAGTCCCTGCCTCTGGATTTGCCCCCCCCCCGATTAGATTGACTCTTAAACAAACAGCGCGTCCTTGCTGCGCGCTGGGCATGAGTGAATCTCCATCCAAATACGCGGGTGGATCTTGAAACCCGATCCACTGTCCCCCGCGGGCTACAATGCCCACGACCCGTTGCTTCCCAAACCAGACTTGGGACTTGTAGTCCGTTAGGCAGCTTGCAGGGCTGATGCAGTCAAGATCCCTTCTCACGTAAGCAGGGTGTGAGTTAACTTTCGCCTCTTTAGCAGTGGACAGATCCAGAGTCATCGCACCAAGTCAAAAGGGAGCCAAACCTTCCACCAGCAAGATTAGCAAAAAATGTTTAAAAATATGTCAGATAGATGTTGGAAATGTAAACATAACATAGGCACGTATTATCATATTTGGTGGACATGTGAGAAGGCAAAGGCTTATTGGAAAAATATACGTATGTGGTTAGAAAAAATATTGGGCGACCAAGTGGATTTTAAACCTGAACTTTTTCTACCAGGCACTATGCCTGAAAAGACTAAGAAGCAGAAATTATATTTAATTTTACACATCACCACAGCAGCGAGAATAATTATTTTGCACAATACTGGAAGAATGAAGGATTGCCATCAGAGGAAGAAATAATCAGGGAAATCCTGGAATGTGCAGAGATGGACAGATTTAACTATGAGGTTGAAAGACAAAGAAGATACAGACTACTCTCAAATTTGGAATTTATTTTATTCTTGGTTAGAGAAAAGAATGAAGGATTAGGAATTGAACGTGTATTAGCTTAGCAAACTCCAGACAACTTGTTGATTGGAAAAATTAACATATGTTGATGAAAAAAAATTAATAAAAAACAAAACAAAAAACAAAACGGAGCCAAGCCTGCCGCAGAGATCTGCAGGATTTTACTCCTTCCTTCCAGTGAAAAGTCTTCGTGGGACCTTTTTTTTTGGCACTGGGTGCAAATGGCTAGACCTGGTTTTTAGACTCATAGGGCTGGAAAAAGGACCTCTGGGGTGTCTCCAGAGTTCGAAGGCCTGCTGGAGTCCTCATTGCATCCCAGACAAAGGGTTGTCCGATCCCCAAAGGTCCTTTTTCAGGAGGCATCTGGACTGCTTTGTTTTTCTTTGAAGACGAGAGCTGAAGAAGCTTCTTGGAAGAGAAGCGGAAACACCTTCCAAGAAAAAGAAGAGAGTCCAGTTGCCTCGTGAAAAGAAGCCTCTCCATAGACAGAGTTATCCAATCTTTTCTTTCACACATTCGGCGATGGGACCTCTACAGCTTTTGGATGCAACCTCTTTTATTCTTGAATCATTCTCACTGTCAGGAAATTCCTCTTTCTTTCCGGATTGGATCTTTTTCTGACAAGCTTCCACCCGTTGCTTCTTGTCCTGCCCTCTGGCACTTTGGAGAATAAGTGGAATCTCCTCTATGTACCAGAAGGCAGTTATCATATCAGCCCTAATCCTTCTCTTCTCTTCTCTTCTCTTCTCTTCTCTTCTCTTCTCTTCTCTTCTTCCATCTTATCTTATCTGACCTGACCTGACCTTATCTTATCATCTTTTCTCCCTCTCTTTCTTCTTCTCTTCTCCTTCCTTCCCTCCCTCCTTCCCTCCCTCCTTCCTTCTCTCTTCTCCTCTCCTTCCTTCCTTCCATCGAATCTTATCTTATCTGAACTGACGTGACCTTATCATTTTTCCTCCCTCCTTCTCTTTCTTCTTCTCTTCTCCTTCCTTCCCTCCCTCCTTCCCTCCCTCCTTCCTTCTCTCTTCTCCTCTCCTTCCTTCCTTCCATCGAATCTTATCTTATCTGAACTGACGTGACCTTATCATTTTTCCTCCCTCCTTCTCTTTCTTCTTCTCTTCTCCTTCCTTCCCTCCTCTTCTCTTCTCTCCTTCCTTCCACCTAATCTAATCTTCTTATCTTATCTGACCTGACCTTATCATCTTTCCTCCCTTCCTCCCTTTCTTCTTCTCTTCTCCTTCCTTCCTTCCCTCACTCCTTCTCTCTCTTCTCTTCTCTTCCACATGCCTTAACTTGTTTTGTTTTTAAATTTACTTTCCATCTAATCTGGTGTCTCCAGGCATTTTACTGGAGCTACAGATCCCCCTGCCCCAGCCTGCCTTGCAAACTGGATGTTTTCTTATGCAGACCTCCCCTAAGGAGAAGACCAAGCATGTATGGAAGGGCTTTCCAAATACTTCACTTGAAGTCTTTCCGTTGGATCTTTTGACAGATGTTTCCGCTCACAGCCTGGACTGTTGGTTTACATTTCCTGCCTTCCCTGCTTGCAGTTTTTGCTTTTGATTTCACAGAACTCTTTTCCACCACTGTCCAAACCTTGCGGGATGCTCTTTCAAAGGGATCTGACCTTAGAAATGATCTCTGAATTACCTTTCTTGATGAAAAGTTATCATTATCTCATGCCTAGCATCAACAGAATAAACTGAATAACAGAGATAGACAGACAGAAAGACAGACAGACAGACAGACAGACAGATAGATAGATAGATAGATATAGATAGACAGATAGATAGAAAGATAGATAGATAACCTTTATTGCCATTTTTTTTTTACTGTGGGCACAATGGCAAGTTGGAAGGGACCTTGGAAATTTTTTACTCCAATCCCCTTGCTCAAGCAAAAGACCCTATGCCATTTCAGACAAATGGCTGTTCAATCTCTTCTTGAAAACCTCCAGTGATGGAGCATCCATAACTTCTGGAGGCAGGTTGTTCCATTGGTTAATTGTTAATTGTACTCCGTTTTCTATTCTATTCTATTCTATTCCATTCCATTCCATTCCATTTTCCATTTACTATCTCATTCTATTCTATTTCTATTTTCTATTCTATTCTTCTATTTCTATTTACTATCTCATTCTATCCTATCCTATCCTATCCCATCCCACTCCACTCCACTCCACTCCACTCCACTCTATTCTCTCCATTTCATATTCTATTCTATTCTATTCTGTTCTGTTCTGTTCTGTTCTGTTCTATTCTATACTATCTCATTCTATTCTTTACTATCTCATTCTATTGTATCCTATCCTTATTCTATTCTATTCTTTGCCCCCCCCCCTGCTTTCCACCTCCATCTCCGCCCTTTAACGGCGCGGGCCATCCGCAGCGGATGCTGCACGGGGCGGGGGGAGCTCTCTGATTGGCCCTCCCGTCCGTGACGTGACCTCGGCACCACCGACTCTCCTGCCTCAGCATCACAATCCGGCCACGCCCTGCGTGGACCGCCTCCCCATCCACCCGCGGGGCTTGCAGTCAGCTGAGCTGCCAGCCCCGGCGCGCAAGGACTCTTCTCCTTTTCCTCCTCCTCCTCCTCCTCCTTCTCCGCGTTATCGTTTCCAGCAAAGCGGAACAGGCGAAGCCGGGAAAGGAAGAAAGAGAGAAAGAGAGAGAGAGAGAGAGAGAGAGAGAGAGAAGGGGGAAAGGAGGGGGCGTCCCGTTGCCCCCCCCAACCAGCCCAGCCAGCCCCCACCCAAACTACAGAGGAGCAACCAGAGACCATCATGGCACCGTCTGGCTTAAAAGCGGTCGTGGGAGAAAGTAAGACGACCCCTTTTTTCCCTCCCCCCCCTTCTTTAAGATTGCATGAACCTTTTGGGGGACGGGGAACTATATCATTTCTGGGGATTTAAGGGGCCTCCCTGGGGGTGGGGGGCCCTGGTTAAAGCTTCCGTTGCAGCCCCCCCCTCTCCCTTCCAGACGTGCGAGCTGATGATCCAAAGCTTGCTATTGTTTTAAAGGGGCCCCTGCAGAAGATTTGCATTGGCGTTTTAAATGCTTTATTATTATTATGATCATTATTATTATTATTTATTTTGCGCTGGGGAAAAATCTGCCTGGATTTAACGGGGCGGGGGGGGGAGAGAAGGATGGAAAGAGAAAGCGTAGGAGGAGGCTGGTTGGGAGAAAAGGAATGGGCGAATGTGGCTGGGGAGGGAGAGAGGCTGGGCTTGTAGCAGCCATTGACTGTACCAAAAAACGAGGGGGGGGGTGCAAGGGAGAGACAGCGGATTCGAGCAAAGCCAGCCTTTTTTTCTTTTTTCCTGCGAAGCTGAATCTTGCTGCTGTGATTTCTATTTTTAATTTTCCTTGCAGGGGGGAAAGAAATGATCGGCTAGTAATATTTTGCTTCCCCCCCCCAGTCTTGTCTGCCCTGTTTTTAAACGGGAGGGGAAGAGTAGCCAGCGGAGTAGAAGGATCCATCCCCTTAGCTCGGTGAATTTCGAATGCAATGTGTATTTTATCCTTCAAGGATGAACGGGGTGTGTGTGTGTGTGTGTGTGTGTGTGTGTGTGTGTGAGAGAGAGAGAGAGAGAGAGAGAGAGAGAGAGAGAGAGAGAGAGAGAGAGAGAAATTTTGTAAGGGGGGCATCCCCGGATTTCTTCAGCTTTAGGAGACAAGGTGAATTGCTGGATGCTCAAATATATATATATATTTTTTGCAGAACGAGCATGCAGGGCTGCTGGTTTTAAAAAAAAGACCCCTGGGTTTTTATTTTTATTTTTATGTTCTCTCTCTCTCTCTCTCTCTCTCTCTCTCTCTCTCTCTCTCTCTCTCTCTCTCTCTCTCTCTCTCTCTCTCTCTCTCTCTCTCTCTCTCTCCCCCCTGTCACATTTTTCTGGCCCCCAGTTCAACAGGGGACAAAAATATCTGGTAAACAGATCGGAGTGTAAACCTTGCAGCAATTGTGCAAAACATTTGGGGGCTTTAGTAATGAAGAGGTAGCAAAGATGCAAAATATCTTTTTTTTTTTTGTCTTTTTCTCCCATCTATTCTAGCCTTTTTTTAAAAGAAAAAAAAATAGTACACTTAGGAGGAGGAAATTGCCTCTAATTCTCGGGAGGGGGGAGATACTAACTCTTAAAGCAATTCCTTTGAACAGTTTGCAGAGTCTCAATGTTCCCCCACTTCTTTCATTGTACACCCCCCCTCCAAAATTAATTTCTCTATATGCAGTGGCTCTGATTTTTTTTTTTTAAAGAAAAAATGCACACGTTCCATAAAGGCTGTTTATTGCTCCCATTTATTCTGGGATTTGGCCACTGCATTTTAAAAGCAGATCTGAGGGACGATGATGCACTGAGGTCCTTTCCCCCCACCCCTGTAAAGCCAGAATGCTGACATGCTTTTTTTTAAAAAAAAAAAAAAATCAGCAATGTGCCAGCAAAATCGGAGTGTTTTGCAAAAGGTGAGGTTGTGCAGAGGGACCATCTCATGCTTTTTATAGGCTTGCCTTAAAACCCTTTGTGAACTGTCTTCAGCAATTGCAGCTAAGCCATTTCCCCCCCTCCTAAGAGGATTGACCAGAGTGAATCCTGCATAATTGCCTTGCAGGTTGTTGGGTATATGTGTGTGTGTGTGTGTGTGCGCGCGCGCGCGCGCGCGCGCGCGCGTGCATCTTTTAGGAGATTAGAAGGAGCAAAATCCATAGGGAAGAACATGGTCGTATCCAGAGGCATCTTCCATGTTGTTGACCTGGCCTTAATGCTGCAGTCAGAGACAGTTGGGCTCAAATGGGGGGGGGGGTGCAGTGCTGAGACTTGGCAGAGATTGGAGGTGGGGCTGATGGAACGGGTGACGATGGCTGGAAAACCTCCTTACAATTCCTTAGCCTCCTTCCTCCCACTGCATCACGACTCTGGAGTCCTACACAGCCTCTCCGTGTCACTCTTAGGTGGTTTTTGTATGTTTTGTAAAATCCAAGCAGCCTGGTGAAAACCAGCTCGCCAGTCACTCAGACAGGTCCCCCTCCCACGTTCCTGCTGCAGGAGCTATGTATGGGGGAGGTGGAATTTAAAATAAAATAAAATAAAAATGAGGAATTGTTTGGCCTTACTGAAGAATCTTCTGTAAGCGAGGGGAGAAATGAAATTCTGTGGGGTCCTTGGTGCTGTCTGAGAGTGGGGGTTTTCTTGTAGATGATTCAGGACCCAACTAGGTAACATCATCAATTGCTGGAAGGGAGTGGGGTTTGCACGGGGGGGGGGAGGAGGAGGAGGACTGTGGGGACCTTGGTACTCTCTGAACTTGGTGGTTTTCTTGCAGACATTTCATTACCAAGGAACATCAGTGCTAGTCCGGATGGTTAGCTAATCCCAGGGACTAGCATTGATGATATTACCTAGCTGGGTAATGAAATGTCTACAATAAAACAACCAAGTTCAGAGAGCACCAAGGTCCATACAGTCCTCCTCCTCTTCCTCCTCCTCCTCCTCCCCACAGACCCCACTCCCTTCTAGCACTGATGATGTTACCTAGCTGGGTAATGAAACATTTGCAAGAAAACCACCCAGCTCAGAGGGCACCAAAGGCCTCATTCTTTAACCCTGAGCTGCAACTATTCTCTACTATTAATAAAATTTTGCCTTGGTGTCTAATAATTGTGGACCTCAGAATATAAATACCTTGAAAGGATGCTTTGGTTCCACACATTTCTGAAGCTAGTGCAGAATCCTGAAAGGATGCTTGTCTAGGATGCTTCCTTTCCCTCTTTCTAGAAACTAGTATTTCTCAAATCATACTTCGGTGAAGTGGTAAGCCAGGACATCAGTTAGATTTTCTGCTCCAAAAACTGGGGTTCCCTTTTCTCTCTTTCTTGAACTGTTCGCTGGCATTTTTCGGTTTGTGTGCATCAACGTGAGACTTGGATTCAAGTCAACTTGGGGGAAAATAATAATAAGCCAAACCAAACTAGCATGATGTGAGAAAGCATTTGACCAGTTACTGTGGCTACCACTTTTCATTAGAACTTTTCTCAGAAGATTAATCCATGAATGCAAGATGGAGAGTTGCTTAAAGAGGCAGTGGGTTTTATAAAATGCATACCCCTAAGCACAACTTTCTTTTCCAAACTTCAGCTAAAGATTGTTTCTTAAGGATGAGTTCTTATCCTAACAGATTCTGGTACACCTTTTCTTTTCTTTTTCAATTCACTCTTTTGTCACAGCAAAGATTTTGCCTGAATGAAGCTTTACCAGCTGTGTATCTACCTCTCACAAATGTTGTGCAGGGTCTCCTGCCTGAGCAGGGGGCTGGACTAGAAGACCTCTGATGTCCCTTCCAGCTCTAGCCTGACTGATTGAACTAATCAAGGAGAGAAGCAATCTGGAATTCAGAAGAAAGTTCCTAAGAGTGAGAACAATTAACCAGTGGAACTCCTTGCCTCCAGAAGTGGTGGGTGCTCCATCACTGGAGGCTTTTAAGAAGAGACTGGGCAGCCATTTCTCTGGAATGGTATAGGGTCTCTTGCTTGAGCAGGGGGCTGGACTAGGAGACCTCCAAGGTCCCTTCCAGCTCTATTCTGATTGGTTATTGATGCTGTCCACTTGCTGATTTATTGCTTTTTTTAAAAAAAAAATAAGTTCTCCTTTGGCCAAAGCAGTTGATGAAAAACCTCTCTCCACGGAACCGGTCCCTGATGCCCAAAAGGTTGAGGACCTCTGCTTTAGGAGATCTTTGCTTCTTCTGTTCTCCCAAGCTTCATTTACCCGTGTCATTTTCTCAAAAGGTTCTAGTCCCCTTGACCATCTTAGTTGCCCTCCTGTAAACTGAAGTGGGGCAACGATTCCTTTTAACCCAGGAACCACAATTTGGCAATCTGGGCCATGAGTGTGGCGTAGAGTAGGCCCTGCTCTCTGGAATCTATGATATTAATTTTTCCAAGCTGTGAAGAAACCTACTTGAAAGTTTGTGATGTGTGGTGACAGGAAACGCCTGCTGTATCTTCTTCCTTCTTTTGTCTGAGAAGCTGTGTGCGTGTGCAAAAAAAAAAAGTTTTTTTTTAAAGTTGCATTTTCCCATATCAAATAAAAGAGAAACTAAACCTTCAACAGTGCAATGAGAGGGACATTCTAATCTGGAAACTGAGTTTGAATAAATTTCCAGTTTTGCGATCAGACCTACGCAAACAGCAACAGGGTTGTGAATTGTGAGGAATCCGTTGCAGTCCAGGAATTGTGATCAGATTCAAGACGCTTCGTTTAGCCGCAGTCAATGCTATGATTAAACTTGCCTTTGCAATGGGTCTGGTGCCAACTCATCCTAGATTCATTCTTTTCCTAATTCCCCTATTTTGATTGATTGATTTATTTTTTGGCAGAGATTATGGCTGATGTCATCAAGAAAGTCAAAAAGAAGGGAGAATGGAAGGTGAGTTCAACATAAATAAAGGGCTTTTTCTTACTTAAACTGTTTTATTCCTGTATTCCACTGCCGTTTGAACGGGTTTCTGATTTAGCCGATTTTCTGAGTTTGCGCAACACTCAGTCAGATGCACACAAATATCACCAAAGTACTCTTCACTCAGCTTAACACCATGTGTGAATGCTGCCTCTAGATCTGAATTTTACTTGATTAAAGGGGTTGTATGAGCATGTCTAACTCAGCACCCATTTCAACCTACCACCCTAGAGGATGATTAGCTAAGTGTGATATCTACATTCAACAAATACATTATTTGAAAAACCTTCCACATATCAAGATTTGATGCAGGACTTGGCCTCCCACTGACCATAAAACCAAACCTATGATACTCAAGTTTCTAATATTTAAGGCCAAAATGTTTTGCGAACCAATTTCGGACTGTTATCAGGACAAAACAAGTTCTGTGATCCTATCTCCTCCCTTGAAGAAAAGTGGTCAATATTTCGAGTGGTTTGTTTAAGAAAACTAAGGTTTTTTTTTTTCTCCTGGAAAAAAGAAAAGTATTTAGATGCAAAAGTATCTGGATACTTATTTCGGTCCTGTCATGTGGGGAAATTTACTGGAGAAAGCCATGATGCTGGGAAGAGTGAGCGGTAAAAGGAAAACAGGCCTTCAAAGAATATGATAGCTGGACGTCTTCAAAGCTGACACTCACCAGAGCATTGAACAACTCAAAGAAGTAGGGCAAGATTGGAAGATGTGGCGAGATCTTGCCCAAAGAATCGCCAAGAGTTGGACACAACTGAAGACATATCTGAATGGATAACCACCTTCTCTTTCTCCTCCTCCTCTTTCTCTTCCTTCTCTCCTCCTCCTTGTCTATCTCCTTCTCCTCGTCTATCTACTTCTCCTTCTTGTCCTCATCTACCTTCTCCTCCATCTCCTCTTTCCCCTCCTCCCCTTCTCCTCCTTCTCTTCTTCATCCTCCTCCTTTTCCTCCTCCTCCTTGTCTGTCTCCTTTTCCTTGTCTATCAACTTCTCCTTCTTGTCCTCCTTATCTATCCTCCTTCTTCTCCTCCTTTTCCCCTTCTCCTCCTCCTCCTTCTCCTCCTTCTCCTTCTTGTCTATCTCCTTCTCCTCATCTATCTACTTCTCCTTCTTGTCCTCCTTATCTATCTTCTGCGTCTCCTTCTCCTCCTCTTTCCCCTCCTCCCCTTCTCCTCCTTCTCCTCTTCTTCGTCCTCCTCCTTCTCCTCCTCCTTGTCTATCTCCTTTTCCTTGTCTATCAACTTCTCCTTCTTGTCCTCCTTATCTATCCTCCTCCTTCTCCTCCTTTTCCCCCTCCTCTCCTTCTCCTCCTCCTTCTTCTCCTTCTCCTCCTCATCTATCTACTTCTCCTTCTTGTCATTTATCTTCTCCTCCGTCTTCTTCTCCTTCTCCATCATCTGGATCCACAGGGGTCCACTTGCTTTTCTGAGCCAGTGGGGGCAGAGGGTCTTCTCTCAGTTAGGTTTAATGCCTAGAGCCAGTTCAGACCCTTGGGAGTGACATCTCCCTTCGCTGTGTCTTTCACAGGTGCTGGTGGTGGACCAGCTGAGCATGCGTATGCTGTCCTCCTGCTGTAAAATGACAGATATCATGACGGAGGGGATAACAAGTAAGTAGAACCTTTGGGTTGTGCTCACGCAACACACTTCGGGTCCCCAAGCCCGTGCCTTCTTTTTGTACGACCTGCAGCGTTTATTTAGAACGAACCTCTGGAGCAAATGTTTGGGTGCTCTTTTTTCTCACTACTCCTTGCTGAAATCCTCAAAGGGTTAGGGTTCCTTCGGTCTCCGGGAAGCTAAGAACAGAAAGCCAGCTTGGGGGGGGGGGTAGGAGATCACCTTCAAACGGAATAGATTTCCAGATCTGAACGGAAATTAAAGCTCCTGAACCCCACAACTTTTCTTCTTTTTAAAAAAAATAACAAAGCAAAACAAGACAAAAGGGGGGGGGGAAATGTGCCATAAACAACAGCAAGGACAAACATATGCATAAATCCCCCCTCCCCCCGGTTAAATACTGATAAATATACTTCAACATTAATAGTTTCCCCCTCTTGGGGGACACAGGTCTACAGTGTATAATCTTTTACAGCTCTCTTTGACCTCCCATCTATCTACAGTTAACAGCCAAACCCAACAGCAGCGCTGAACTTCAAGGCCCTTGGTTAACAATCTTTTACTGTGTTTCACACCCAGAAAGTCCACAAAGGCTTCTAATCTGTGGCTTCCTTCTGCTTCCCTCCTGTTCTTTTTCTCCCATGCAATCTCTGCTCGCCTCTATCCAGTTGTGGAAGACATCAATAAACGCCGAGAGCCACTGCCCAGCCTGGAGGCTGTGTATCTCATCACTCCATCTGAAAAGGTGAGTTTTCCCCTGAACGTTGTTTCGTGTTAATGGGAGAGCATCTTAGCATGATAATAGACTTGCGACTTGGAGGTCTTCCAGTCCAGCCCCTGGCTCAAATAGGAGACCTTGGACCACCCCAGCCCTATCTGATTCACTAAGAGAATTACAACAGAGTTGGAAGGGACCTTGGGGGTCTTCCAGTCCAGCCCCCTGCTCAAGCAGGAGACCCTAGACCAGGGGTAGGCAACTTTGGCTCTTTTAGGACTCGTGGACTTCAACTCCCAGAATTCCTGAGCCAGCCAGGCTGAGGGGAAAGGGAGAGGTTTCCAAGCTGAGCCATGCTGGCTCAGGAATTCTGGGAGTTGAAGTCATAAAAGAGCCAAGGTTGCCTACCCCTGCGCCTAGACCATCCTGGACAAATGGCTATTTAATCTCTTCTTGAAAACCTCCAGTGATAGAGCATCCACCACTTCTGGAGGCAAGCCCTTCCACTGCATTAAACATCTTACTGCAGCCCACCTGACTGGCATTTGATACACCCTCCCTATTTTTTCTCTTTCCACTGGTTTTTATGACCCAAAGTGCTTTTTCAAAAGGCAACCGGATTTTCTTTGTTGCTGTTTTTTTCTTTGAGAACATTTCACTTCTTATCCCAAGAAGCTTCTGAAGAAGTCATCAAAATGGGAGCAATCAGAACTGAAGAAGCTTCTTGAAGGAGAAGCTATCTTTTTAAAAGCCTCCAATGATGGAGTACCCACAATTTTTGGAGAGAAGCCATTCCACTGGTTGATTGTCCTCACTGTTAGGAAATTTCTCCTTAGTTGTAGGTTGCTTCTCTCCTTGATTAGTTTCCATCCATTGCTTCTTGGTCCACTCTCAGTGCTCTAGAGAATAGGTTGTCTCCCTCTTTTTTGTAACAGCCCCATAAATATTGAAAGGCTGCTATCATGTCACCCCAGCCCTTCGTAGACTCGACGTACCCAGTTCCTGCAACTATTCCTTGTATGTTTGTATATTGTACATCTTCAACAATTTTGGTGGGGCACTGGGGCTATCCAAGGAAAGACAGTAAACCACAGGAACAAGTGAAGTTGTCTTATCTGGAAATCTAACAGTCCTTATTATGGACAATTATTTCTACTATTTCTATCGTATTCCCGTGTCCACTGTAAAAACCTTTTTTGCTCCAGCTCCTATTTTTACTTTTGTAACACCGAAAATTAATTCAGGCTGACATTCTTGATAAGAAGTAGACTGAATCCACTTCATCTTCTTTCTCAGTCAGTGGAGTCCCTTATTGCTGATTTCAAGGAACCCCCAAACGCCAAATACCGAGCTGCACATGTCTTCTTCACGGACTGTAAGTATAGAGTAAACTGGGGTTCCCCCTCTGTGTTGTAAGATTTTTGAAGTTCCACATCATTTTCAGGATCTGCCTTAGGGGCCACACATCAAACTGGGGTTCGTCTGCAATGGAAGCAGCTGCATTCATGAGATCCTAGCCACATTCAACTAACTCTGTTTCTAGGTTCCCACAAGCCACTTATAGATTTCTATAACACACAAAGTCAGTAAATGAATTCCAAAGTAAGGCTAATCCAAGTCAAAAGGAGCACTTCATGCAAAATCCTAGATGGTGCGAAAGCAGCCACTGAGCAATCCAGGGTCTTGTGTTGGAAGATCCTGAACTGAATTGTGGATTGATCTAGCTGAGTTTCAAAACCTGCTCACCCAATGCTTGAACCCTAATCTCTTCTGGAACCATTCTTCTTGCTATCCTTGCAGTGGGTGGGATAATATGCAGCTTTCTAGTTTGGGGCAAATTAACCAGTTAGTTTGTGTTGTTTAAACTTGTGGTTGCTGTCTTTTTCCCAGCTTGCCCAGATTCCTTATTCAATGAACTGGTCAAATCCCGGGCAGCAAAAGTCATCAAGACCCTGACGGAGATCAACATTGCTTTCCTGCCGTATGAGTCCCAGGTAAACTGTTGACTGAGCTAGAAGTGAAGATAGACTGTTTAGATATAACTACATTTATTTCAGTTCATTCTGTTTCTCCTCTGGGCTGTCACTGCTCTGTTTCATCAATGGAATCTTTCCTTGGAAATTCTCCAAAGTTTTAGAGAAAATGACTTGATATTCTTCAGATGCCTTCAGAAGTTGTGGGTGCTCCATCACTGGATGTTTTTAAGAAGAGAATGGACAACCACTTGTCTGAAATGGTATAGGGACTCCTGCTTGAGCAGGGGGTTGGACTAGAAGACCTCCAAGGTCCCTTCCAACTTTGTTGTTCTGTTTGGGGCTTCATTACTTACTGCAAAAGCCGTCATCCCAAACACTGGGAGAAGAGCAAAACTTCTACCCATGCACCAAGAAATATTCCATTCACCAGTTAGCCAGCTAAAATTGCACCATTTGCAATAGGATCACAATAGAATCACCCCGAACTGCTTTAGTACTCTTGCTGTCATTCTATGCTCCCTTTTTTAGGGTTCTCTGCCTTGCAGAGTAAATCTTGGAAAAGGGATCAGCAGGCATCTACAAATACACCAAAACGGAGCTCAATTGTTTTATGGAAAGCAAAAATAAATAGTCTGGATTTGGATAGCCATTTTGGTTGCTGTGTTTTTCTGAGGAGTTTGTGCTTGCCACCACTTGCCTACAGAAAAAGCAGAAGATGACAGATTTGTGCAACTTCCCCCCTCCCCCCCCCAGACACCAAGGAAGTCCATCTCTTCTTTACTCTCCTCTGAGGCTCATTTGCTTTGATCGCTGAGCTTTTGTGATGGGCGTAGTGCCCTTCTTTCCATGCACACCCGTGCCTCTGTTCACCTCCTATTTGCTTCCCCACACTTGTTTTTCTTTGACGGTCGATTGTTCTTCCAAGCTACTGCCCAGATGTGCCAGCCTTGCCTCTCTTTCCATCTCCTCTTTCGTTAGAGCAAAATGGGGGAAGTGAAAAGCAGGAGAGGGAAAAAAAAAAAACCAGATGGCAGATGGTAAAGCAGCATTGTAAATACACGGCAGATTGTTTTTTTTTTTTTCCCCTATCTGCAAGCACCGCGCTTACAGTGCATTGCTACTGGGAGTGAATGATGGATATATATATATAAACATACTGGACCTTTTATATACCCGGGGTAGAGAACATAGTATCCTGGAGCTGGAAGGGACCTTAGAGGTCTTCTAGTCCAACCCCCTGTTCCAGGCAGGAGACCTTATATCATCCTGGTTAAATGATTGTCCAGTCTATTTTTGAAAACCTCCAGCAATGGAGCACTCACAACTCCTGGAGGCAAAGCTGTTTCACTGATTAATCGTTCTCACAGTCAGGAAATTCCTTCTTATTTCTCGGCTGGTTCTCTCCTTGGGGGCTATGGAGAATAGATCAAGCCCCTCTTATTTATGAGACCCCCCTCAAGAACTGGAAGACAGCTGTCCTGTCCCCCTCCGACCCAATCCGTCTCTTCGATAAGCTAGGCATAGCTAGCTCCTTCAACCATTCATCATACGATTGATAGCATCTTCCCTTCTATTTTTACTAGAGTTTTAACATTTGCATAACATAAAAGGTATGTGTAAAAGCTCTGGTACTCAGTGCTGTAAACGGGGGCATATGGTGCATTCCAACATGCCCAGGACACCTTAATGTGACGATCGACATTAGACATCAAACAGACTTCCCCTTGCATTTTTAGATAGCTGATTTTTTTCTCTTCCTTAGGTGAGTGAGCAAAACATAGGGAAGTATTGAAATTAAAGACACCTCAGCTCCTTTTCTTTTTTCACTCTTGGGGTGCCTACTATACAGTGGTGAGATTCAGCCAGTTTGCACCAGTTCAGCAGAACCGGTAGCTAATTTTTTGTTGCCCAGGCCCAGAAGGGACTTCCGGAAGTGGCATCCACGCAGAGAACCGGTTGCTCACCTATTTGAATCCCACCACTGCTACTACAGGTTTACTCCCTGGATTCCTTTTCTTCTTTTATCCTTGTGATGCCTATTACAGGTTTACTCCCTGGATTCGGCGGACTCCTTCCAGAGCTTTTACAGCCCTCACAAGGCTCAGATGAAGAATCCAATTCTGGAACGCTTGGCTGAACAGATTGCGACTCTTTGCGCCACTCTGAAGGAATACCCAGCTGTCCGATACCGAGGGTGAGTAAGTGGAGTTTCTGGAGGACTCCTTCAAAGAACTCACCATGAACCTCTCGTGATTTTAATTTAAAACCAGAGCAGTAGGTGCCCCATACTTAAGGAAGCCTCCTGTAACTGGAGGTTATCTTCATCACGAAAGAGACATCTGTCAAGAGCTGGATGGACAGAAGCTTCTGGAAGCCCAGCTGCAGAAGCTCAGTACTGGGCGATCCTGGCAATCTCCTAATACCCTTCTTAAGGAGGCTTCAAAGGATTTGCAAGTTCTATGCTTCTATTCCAAGGGTGTCAAGAACCCTGTGGACTTCAACTCCCAGACTTCCCCAGCCAGTCTTGAAACTAAGAAACTAAGCCATGCTAGCTGGGGGGGGGGATTCTGGGAGTTGGTCACAGGTCTTAAAGGGGCTGAAGTTGGAGACCCCCTGGTTTATACAATTCTAGTGAAAGACCTCAGGAAGGGATGCCCCTTGGGGGCTTCTGAAAATGATGAAGTGAGGTCATTGAAGGACACTATGGAAGGTTGAAAAGGAACCTAACAAAGCATCAACAAAACGTCCAACATCTTCCAAAGCTTGTTACCCATGTTTCCCTGAAAAATAAGACCAGGTTTTATATTAATTTTTGCTCCAAGGGATGCATTAGGGCTTGTTTTCCAGTTAGGGCTTATATTTGGGGAAAATACAGTATTAAATGCATCTGCCTGGTTGACAATCTTAACTCGGGCTTATTTTTTGGGGTAGGACTTATATTACAAGCATCTTGAAAAAAAATCACGCTAGGGTTTATTTTCCAACTGGGCCTTCTTTACGGGGAAACACGGTATTAACAAAGTCATTGGGAAAACATCCCTCAAAGGTATTCTAAAAAAATTACTATAGCAGCCCAGGAGAGTGGAAGGGAGGTGGTGCGTGTTGTATGGCAATGAAAAGAGAAGACAGTGTTATCACCAGCATCATCAAGGGTCCCCATCAAATGAAATCAGCCCTGGTTTTGAAAGAACTATTATGTTGTCCTCTTTTGGTAGGGACTACAAGGACAATGCTATGCTGGCTCAGCTGATCCAGGACAAATTGGATGCATACAAAGCAGATGACCCAACCATGGGAGAGGTGAGCAGATCCTTGTAGTTAAAGAATAGAATAGAATAGAATAGAATAGAATAGAATAGAATAGAATAGAATAGAATAGAATTCAGAATGAATAGAATAGAATAGAATTCAGAATGAATAGAATAGAATAGAATAGAAAATGGAATGGAATGGAATGGAATGGATTCATAGACTTAATAATAATTTTCCCAGCCAAACCGCCAATGTCTTATCTAATTCATATCAAAAAGTTCACTTTGTTATGGGAACCATCTGCTTCAAATCCGCACCTGGTTCTGGTGCCCTTGACAAGGCTTCAGGCTCCCACATTCTTCAGCTAAATCGGTTTCATTTCTCCATTTAACCTACTTGAAAGTAACATCCCCTCCCCTTAATCTAAAGGCAAGATGAAACACAGGCACGTAGCTGCCGAAGTTTCACCCTTGACACATTGCTTAGCATTATTTTTCATTACTTTTATACTAGGCACTCTTTAAACAAAGTATGTCTGTCAGACCAAAATCAACATCTCGGCATCTGTGTTGATTGATGATTGAGAGGAATGTTCTCCCACTTGATGGAAAAACAGGTTGGATACCTCTAATGGCATCTTGGTTTGTTTCCCCCAATCCAGGGTCCAGACAAAGCTCGTTCTCAACTTATCATTCTAGATCGTGGCTTTGACCCCAGTTCTCCAGTGTTGCATGAACTCACGTTCCAAGCCATGAGTTACGATTTGCTACCCATTGAAAATGATGTCTACAAGTAAGGTTCTCTTGTTTACTTCCTGTACTATTTGTGAGGTGTGTGGGGCAACATATGACATGGAGGACACCCCCTTGTGAACAGTGTGTGTTCTTAGATTGGAATAGACTAGACTAAAATGATCTTGGTAGATTTGTCCTTGAGCATATTGTAGAAATCCGGCCGTAGTTATCCTAGATTGTGCAAACCAAGATATCTATTGATTCCTAATGTACTCTCTTAAAAAATTGGATCACTATGATTCCTACGTGCAGAAAGGACTTGGATTCAGTGAAGTTTGACGTCCCTGTGATTCAAAACTGTGTCCATCTTAGTTTTCCCTCAAACCCAGAAACTTGTAGATTTGTGGGGTGAAGCCACTGATTCCTTTGAAATTCCCAGGTATGAGACAAGTGGAATTGGAGAGGCCCGGGTCAAAGAGGTCCTGCTGGATGAAGATGATGACCTCTGGATCACCTTGCGCCACAAGCACATTGCTGAGGTGTCCCAGTAAGTATTCTTCTTTTGCACGATGGCGCATGGAAGGCTCTATGCTGCTCATGTGAGTTCTAATGACCTTTTGTCAGAAATAATTGGGGATGGGGAGAAAGAGCAGGTCAAAATAAAGACCTTCTTGAGTGGGCTTTGACTCCTGCAAGTTTCATGGAGGCATCATTTCACTTTATAATGCCTTGGTAAGAGTAGAATAGAATAGAATAAGAATAGAATAGAGTAGAATAGAATAGAATAAGAATAGAATAGAGTAGAATAGAATAGAATAAGAATAGAATAAGAATAGAATAGAATAGAATAGAATAGAATAGAATAGAATAGAATAGAATAGAATAAGAATAGAATAAGAATACTAGAATAGAATAATACTAGAATAGAATAATAATACTAGAATAGAATAGAATAATAATACTAGAATAGAATAATAATAAAATAGAATAGACTAATACTAGAATAGAATAATAATAGTAGAATAGAATAAAATAATAATAGTAGAAGAATAATAATAGTAGTAGAATAGAATAGAATAAGGAATAGACTAGACTAGACTAGAATAGAATAAGAGAGTTGGAAGGGACCTTGGAGGTCTTCTAGACCAACCCCCTGCTCAGCCTGTAAATATAATATAACCAATGCCCATTGTATCAGTTTTCAGATTGTTCATCTCTACCCTAGCTGCAGTCCTCTTTCAAACGTTGCTTCGATTCAGATTGTACCAAGCAATCCAAATCAAAGAACTGTCCCCATTTAGCCAATTCAAGCATTCGAGTACGCGGCATCGATTCAGCCAGCGGCTCGCTTGGATTGCCACCCCTGCACGTAATTTATTCGTTTATTTGTTTCTTGTTCCAGAGAAGTCACCCGATCCCTGAAGGATTTTTCTTCCAGCAAAAGGATGAATACCGGTGACAAGGTAAGACGTGGATCCGAAGTAGAATTTAGAAGGTTTCAAGGCTATGATCCCTTTGAACTGAAGTAGATGAAAGTCAAGCTTAAAATACTTCGTCTTTGTGGTAGCAGAGAAGATCTTTGAAGGGAAACAGTCGGAGGGGAGGGAAGAAGGGAATATTCCGGAACTGAGTTGATTGGCTGTCATTTCATCTTTTTTGTGGGAGCATTGTAGTATACAGGTAATCCTCGACTTATGACGGCAATTGAGCCCAACTTTTCCATTGCTAAGCAAGACAGTCGTTGAGTGAGTTAAATGAGAATAATGGAATTGTGAAGGTTTGCAGATAGAGCAAGAGAGAATTCAACAAATGCCTGGTTTCCCCCCCTCCTTCCCCCCTAATTTCCCTCTCCTGGATTCTGAGGACCATCAGCTCAATCCTTCCCACAGGCACAATTTGGACTTGATCTCTCTTTCAATAAGGCCGTAGCGCTGGATCCTGGTGAGTTCCGTAATCTAGAATCCAAGAGCTTGGCTGAGGACCAGCCCTCTCTTTCCTGCCTTTTCAGACCACCTTGAGGGACCTTTCCCAGATGCTGAAGAAGATGCCCCAGTATCAGAAAGAACTCAGCAAGGTATGTCCCTTTGCTACTGGCTTAAAAGTTAAACCATCCAGCCTGCTATAGTAGAGGAGTGGGGGCCTTCAAGGCAAGGCTGAATGACATATTGCAGAATCCTAGTTAAGAATTGTGGGAATGGTGGCTGGGCTCATTGGCTGCTGAAATATGGATGGAGAGAGAGCTAAGTTAAGGAGGAGGACTGTGGGGTCCTTGGTGCCCTCTGAGCTTGGGTGTTTTCTTGCAGACGTTTCATTACCCAAACTAGGTAACATCATCAGTGCTAGAAGGAGTGGGGTTTGCAGGGAGGAGGAGGAGGAAGAAAAGTTCTGTAAGATCCTTAGTGCTCTCTGAACTTGGTGATTTTCTTGCAGACATTTCATGACCAAACTAGGGAATATCATCAGTGCTAGAAGGGTGTGGGGTTTGTGGAGAGGAGGAGGAGGAGGAGGAGGACTGTGCGGTCCTTAGTGCTCTCTGAGCTTTGTGGTTTTCTTGCCAACGTTTTATGACCCAGATAGGTAACATCATCAGTGTTAGAAGGGAATGGGGTCTGTGGAGAGGAGGAGGAGGAGGAGGAGGGGGAGGAGAAGGACTGTGGGGTCCTTGGTGTTCTCTGAGCTTGGTAGTTTTCTTGCAGATATTTCATTACCCAAACTAGTGCTAGCCCTAGCACTGGTGATGTTACATAGTTGGGTAATGAAACGTCTGCAGGAAAGCAACTTAGGACCCCCTCATTTCAAGCCCCAGCTACAAATATTCTCCTTTATTGGTAGACAACATCTGGACTGCTGAACTCTTTTTTTCTTCTTGTGTTTGGCTAGTATTCCACTCATCTCCACCTGGCTGAAGACTGCATGAAGCACTACCAAGGCACCGTGGACAAACTCTGCAGAGTTGAACAGGTAAGTCTGCTCGGTTGCGTGTTTGTGTGTTTGCCTGAAAAGGGACAGCATTCAAGTTGTGCTGATCCTTTGGCCCTTTCTCAACTTGTCTAGTTTTTTTCCCCCTCCCCTTCCCCTGCGTGGTAAATCTTCCCAGAGTTTGGCAGACTTTTCAAGAAGCCAGAGAAACAGCTGGCTGTCTTGCTGATCCCAGCTGTTTCTCTACTTTAACAAAGACGTGGATTCTTGCAGGCTTACCTTGAATGGGTGGCTGGTTTGTAATGGCCCATTTTACATTCCTCTACTGGTTTCCAAAAATAAAAATTTAAAAATTTAAAAAAGTAAGAAGAAGCTCTCCTGGAGGCCGAATCCTTTAGTTCCCAGTTCATCCCAAACTCAACTGGGCAGAAAAGAAGTTTCCAGTGGACATGACCTAGTTAAGTCCCGGGAGATGTTCTGTCTTACCAGGATCTGGCCATGGGCACCGATGCAGAAGGGGAGAAGATCAAGGATCCCATGCGTGCGATTGTCCCAATCCTGCTGGACGCCAACGTCAGCACCTATGACAAGATCCGGATCATTTTACTCTACATCTTTCTCAAGAACGGTACAGAGAGACTTTTATTGAGGCTCAAAGCCATTGGGGAGATGTGAGGATATGTGGTGTGCCTTAGGGGAAATGATGCATTTTCCCAATCCTTGTGTCAACGCTGCAAATATTGTATATTCTTGCTTTTGACAATATGCAGAATTGTCTGGTAATTATGGGGTTAATACAGAGCAGAAGGGGGGTGGGGGTAAAGCCTGGGAAAGAAAGAGGAAGAAAACCTTTGACCTTCACACTAATTGGATAATGTGATATATGACAGAGGGAACATGCTGATAATTTAACTGCTCAGAGGAAGAGAACTTGACATTTTGTAACAATCACAGGCTTTTAGGAAAATAAATGCCTGGAAGTTCTTTGAAGTGTTTCATTAGCCGGAACCATAACACCTTGCTTCCATGGGTCCCTGGGAGGGAAATTGGAGATGATTCTAAAAATATTAGTATAATATTAGGATAAAAATATTAGGATAATATTAATGTTAGGTAATATTAATTGTTATCGATCAAAACAACTGTTGTTTGTTGGCATGCTTGTGTGCCGACTCCTTCTCCTAGAACATGCATGTTTGGTCTCCCCCTCCCCCAGGGATCACCGAGGAGAACCTCAACAAGCTGATCCAGCATGCTCAGATCCCTCCTGAGGACAGTGAGATCATCACGAATATGGCACACCTTGGGGTGCCCATCATAACAGACGTAAGTCGTGCTAGGTTCTTTCAAAAGCTCTGGAGAAGTGACCAGGTCAATCCACGCTCTGCTTGGACAGCTTGGTCCCAGCTGTGGAAGTAAGAAGGAGAAGCAGAACATGTGGTAGAACAAAGTCCACCAGCAGGTTCCATTTTATTGCTTGGCACTTTCTTCTAAGGTCCCCAAGGCTTTCTCTTGTGTTTGACCATAGCTTCAGGTATCTGTTGCTAGGACTCTTATTCCAGACTTGGGAATAGTTGAAGGAGAACTCAACTGTCAAGGTTTTTTTTTGATCTATGGAACCAAGAAAGTTTCCACCTATTCCTTGGGAAACAACATATCTCTTAATATCTATGGAGATTCTCCGTCTTCCAGGTCATAGTTATCCCAAAGATGCTTTTTCAGGAGGCAACTGGACTTTCCTGTTTTTCTTTGAAGACGTTTCGCTTCTCATCCAAGAAGCTTCTTCAGCTCTGATTCTTCAGCTCTTCCATTCCCCACCATTCAGTCAGAGCTTGAAGGAGCTTGTTGGATGAGAAGCGAAACGACTTCAAAGAAAAACAAGAATGTCCAGTTGGGAACATTCTTGTGAAAAAGGATCTTTGGGGTAAGTATCTCTCAAGCTTGTAATTAAACAATATTTTTTTGCAATGCTAGTAGTTAAACAAGGTGATATCTTGAGAGCCTGGTATGTATATATGGCAGTTACCTTTGTAACTTACACTTCCATTAAAAAAAAAAATAACTACCCTGTCACAGAATTATCTGTTTAGCAAATGGCTAAGTCCTTGGTGCTCTCCGAGCCTGGTTGTTTTCCTGCAGACATTTCATGACCCAACTAGGGAACATCATCAATGCTAGAAGAGAGTGGAGTTTGCTTTCTTTCCCTTCTGACACTGATGATGTTACCTAATTGGGTCATGAAATGTCTGCCAGCTAAGAGATCACCAAGGACCCCACAGTCCTCCTCCTCGTCCCCACCTTCCTTCTGCACCTCCACTCCTCGTGCCCCACTGCCTTCTAGCCCAGATGATGTTCCCTAGTTGGGTCATGAAATGTCTGCAAGAAAACCACCAAGCTTGGGGAGCACCAGGGATCCCACAGTTCAGCCCTACTCTCTTCTAAAAGGCTAAGTGTTGCAGATGAGAGAGAGGATCACAGGGTAGATGGAGAGAGGTTCTTGTAAAGAATAGTAACTAGAAGTTGGTATCTTCTAGTTATCTCCAATCTTCCACAGGTCCCCAAAGCTAGAAGGCTCCAGTTTACTCTTCCATGTGTATAAGCCTGGTTAACATCCTCTGAGTCCATTTTCTCTCTCTTGTGTCCAGTCGACCTTACGTCGTAGAAGCAAGCCAGAACGGAAGGAACGTATCAGTGAACAGACCTACCAGCTCTCCCGATGGACTCCGGTGGTCAAAGATATCATGGAGGTTCGTAATGAAGGATAGCTCTTGAATGCATGGACCTCTTTGCTTTGTGTCTAATACACACTTGCAGGAGCTCCAGATGTGCTCTTTCTTTCTTTCTTTCTTTCTTTCTTTCTTTCTTTCTTTCTTTCTTTCTTCCTTCCTTCCTTCCTTCCTTCCTTCCTTCCTTCCTTCCTTCCTTCCTTCTTTTCTTTCCTTCCTTCCTTCCTTCCTTCCTTCATTTATTTATTTATTTATTTATAGGATGCTGTGGAGGACAAACTGGATACCAAACATTACCCATGCATCTCCACCCGGTCAGCTGCTTCCTTCAGCACTACAGCAGTCAGGTAAGAAGGGAGTGCCCTGTCCGGTATTGGGTCTAGGGAAGCATAATTAGGTTTAAATGAAGCCTAGATTAAACTTAATTAGGTCTAAGTTAAACTAAGTCTGAATTGGAGGCCTGCAAGCACAGAATGTTTGTGGACATTTTTGTTTATTTGTTTGTTTGTTTGTAAGATAGATAGATAGATAGATAGATAGATAGATAGATAGATAGATAGATAGATAGATAGATAGATAGATAGACATAGAGATTAGATAGAGATGCAGACAGACAGCAGTAGCAGTAGCAGTAGCAATAGCCCTTAGACTTATATACCGCTTCACAGTGGTTTACAGTCCTCTCTTAAGCGGTTTACAGAGTCAGCATCTTGCCCCTTAACAACCTGGGTTCTCATTTTACTGACCTTGGAAGGCTGAGTCAACTTTGAGCCGGTCAGGATCGAACTCCTGGCGGTGGGCAGAGTTTGCCTGCAATGCTGCATTCTAACTACTGCGCCACCACGGCTCTTCCAAATCGTGATCTAATTTTTTTCTTTTCCTTTTCATCCTGGTCTTCAGTGCCCGCTACGGACACTGGCACAAGAACAAGGCTCCTGGGGAATACCGAAGCGGTCCTCGCCTCATCGTTTTCATCCTGGGCGGGGTTGCTCTGAGCGAGATGCGCTGCGCCTACGAAGTGACGCAAGCCAGCGGGAAGTGGGAGGTGTTGATAGGTAAGTCCTTGTCTTGCTTGGAGCCTTCAACTCATGCTTGCTTGCTCCGCTCTGCTCTGTCTTCCATCATCTCCATCTGTCTCCTCACTTCCTCCTCAACTTTGAGGCCCCCCGCCCCCAAACCCGGTGCTCCCTGAAGCTCCCCATAGGGAATACGCTTGCATCCACTGCCCTGTCCTATTCTCCCCTCCTACAACTCTTGAGGATATTTGAGGGGCTGCCACAAAGATGAGGGGGACAAAGCACCAGAAGTCAAGACAAGAACCAGTGCCATCAAACTAACCCAGTAGAGAAGCAATCTAGAACCAAGGAGAAATGTCCTAATGGCGAGAACAATCAAGCTGTGGAACGGCTTGTGGTGCCCCATCACTGGAGGCTTTCAAGAAGAGACTGGACAGATCACTTGTCTGAAATGGTGTAGGGTCTCCTGCTTGAGCAGGGGGTTGGACTATAGGGCCTCCAAAGTCCCAGCTCTGTTTTTCTGGGTTAATGCAGCTCTCTAATGCTCACGAGTCAGCAGGAAAACTCACGTTGGGTTGGGTTGACATCCCAACGATTATATTTACAAAGCTGGCTGAGGAATTCTGGGAGTTGAAGTCCACAAGTCTTAAAGGGGCCAAGGTTGAGGATCCCTGACATAGGGGACATGAAGAACAAGCAATCATATCCAAACTACACCTCGCTTCTTTGAAGTGCTATCTTCCCGTTCCACCATTTTTTACCCCCTTCTTGAATTTTTTTTCCCCCTCTTGGGACCTTGGCTTTCCCGAAACTCACTTTCTTGACTTCCTTCTCCACGCGGTCTCCTTCCTTGTGTCATCTCACCTCTGTGTGTGTTCAAAAGTGTGCATGGTGTGTGTTTTCCTGCTTTGTTTACTGTTGCTTCTAACGTTGGACGTTGTTCTTTCTGCGGTGGGTTTATTTCAGCGGTGGGATTCAAATCTGCGAACAACTGGTTCTCTGCGTGGATGCCGCTTCCGGAAGTCCATTCTGGGCCTGGGCCAACAAAAAATTAGCTACCGGTTCTGCCGAACTGGTGCGAACTGGCTGAATCCCACCACTGGTTTATTGGGTGTTTATTCTTTCTGCCGTGCATTTATATGGCGGGGGTTGGGGTGTCTTACCCTGTTTATAAAGAACTTTTGACTTCTTTTCCAGTTGCAAAAATTGCCCGAGTAACTGCCTTTATTTAGCATGTCCTAGTTTTGAGTTATACCTTTTTTTTTTAGTTTCAAATTTAAAGTGAAAGGTTCATACAGTTGTGCCACTTGAATAGCCCAATCTGTATTTTTAATAATAATAATAATAGTAATAGGCGCCTTGCGTGCAATCCCAAAACAACTGGAGCACCACTTGAACACCATTGGCATTGACAAATTTGCTATTAGTCAATTGCAAAAGGCGGCCTTACTAGGAACTGCTTCCATCCTTCAACGAGATCTGTAATACCATCAAACATCCACATCTGCCTATCCCAGGTCCTTGAGAAGGATTCGAGAGATAGACAAAAATGCCAAATCCAGTCTGAACATCTGGCTGACTGTGCGATGATTGATTAATAATAATAATAATAATTGGAGTGGGAGATTAAGCAATTCAGCAACTTAAGCATTCTATCTTGTATATATCACTACTATTATTGATTGATATATGTATGTATGTATGTATGTATGTATCTACACCGAAGTGGTGAACGTATTGCTATTTCAATGTTTCCTCTAGAATTAATTCTGGCAGATGCAGTTATGGGGTGCTCTATTGCGGCACCCCGAAGAGATTTTCTTCTCTCTCTCACAACTGCCTTCTTTGCCCCCCCTCCTCTCTCTCTCGGTGTGATTGTATGATTGTCTCTCTCTTGCCATTTCTGCTTCACTTACCATCACTGGCTTCCATCACAGTGATTTTTGGTGATATGAACTATATTGTAAGGGTTTTTTTTTTTAAAAAAAGGCATAAACAAAATTTCTTGGCATGTTGCTTTTCTCTTTCTTTCTTTCTTTCTTTCTCCCTTCCTTCCTTCCTTCCTTCCTTCCTTCCTTGCAATTCTTTTCCTTCCTTCCTTTCTTTTTTCATCTTTCTTGCATTTCCTTCCTTCTCTTTCTCTCTCTTTCTTTTATCCTTCCTTCCTTCCCCCTCTCTCTTTTCTTTTTTCCTTGCTTTTTCTTTCTTTCTTTCTTTTCTTCCTTCCTCCCTCCCCGTCCTTCCTCCCTCCCTCCCTCCCTCCCTCCCTCCCCCTCCCCCCTCTCTCTCACAAAGAGTCAGCCCACGCTCTATTTTCTCGCAGGTTCTACTCACATTCTTACTCCCACCAAATTTCTTATGGATCTGAGACACCCCGACTTCCGAGATTCCACTAGGGTCTCTTTTGAGGAACAGGCTCCAACTATGGAATGAGAGCCAAAGAGAACTAAAAAAGTAAAAGCAATTTATCTTGAGAAGAAACTCTTTCTTGTTTTGGAAGGGCTTCTTTTGATCATCCTATCATCCCTTTCTCTCTTTCTTGCTTTTCTATGATTTCTCCCCCCTCCCTTTTTATTATTATTATTATTTTTTTTTCTTGGTATGAGAAAATGTTTGCTTCAAAATGATAATTTTGATAAAAAATATATTTGCTTCCATGACAAATCTGGACCATGAGTTTCTGGTAGCCAGAACTTGCCAACTTGACTAGAAAGCCAAGTTTCCAAGCATCACTCTGGGTGCTTATCTATTCTTTCACACCTTCCTTTTCTCTCTGCTATAATTCAAACAGAACTGGGTATTAAAGAGAAGTGGATGGCTCCAGTCTCTAGGTGGGGGTAAAGCTCCCTTTTTGATTGCCCCCTCCTGTTTATAACCACCACCACCCCTCTGCAAAGGCCTCTTGGCCATTGCAGGCCCAGAGGATCCCACGGGGTTGCATCTGCTGCCTCTCTTGATAGAGGATGCTTCAGCTCTTGAACTTCATGACAAAGTCTGCATGTCCTACTTCATGTCTCCACTACATTTCGAACACTGTGTGATTGGGTTTTTTGTGTTTTGTTTTGTTTTTAACAAAAATATATATTGATTTCCGTTGATGACGGGTGGTTTTCATTTCAGTTCCTTTCCAGCTATTTTTTTCCTCCCGCACTTAGATGTAGTTCCTTAGGCTTACATTTTGCAAACATTTCTCTTAATATATATGAGCGTATATATCGACACGGGCACGTGATAGGGAAGGGGTCAAGGGTGAGGGGAGCTTCGTCCCTTCCTCCTTGAAAACCCAGCAAAGCTGATATGCTGACGGGGGTGGCAGAGGGGGGCACCCCAAAACTGCTTTTTCGAAAGGCAACTGGACTTTCTTTTTTTTTTTTCTTTGACGGCATTTCGCCTCTCCTCCAAGAAGCTTCTTCCGTTCTGATCGGACTGTCTGAAGACTCAGCTCTCTTCAGTCAGAATGGAAGAAGCTTCTTAGATGAGAAGTAAAATATCTTAAAAAACAACAACAATGAAATCCAGTTGTCTTTTAAAAAAAGCACCATGACCTGATGACTGAGACCCTCCCTAGAGAATGAAGGGTGGGCAATTTTGAGATTTCTCTCCCCACCTCTATAAAATCTTTCTTTACCCTCCTCCTTCCTTATCGGCCTTCGGAGGTGACATTTTGTGGGGTGGGTCACCCTTTTAAGCTTTTCAGCCTTTGGGAGGGGTGGGGGGAGTGGGGGGGCTGGTGGGGGGGGCAATCACAAAATGACTGCCACAGTCACTGTGCAGTCAGTCATGAGGCTGATGAGCTGCTAGTCCCCACAATGCAGCTAGCCGGGAATGCTGGGAGAGGTAGTCCAGGGAGATTGGCAAAACCCCAGATAGGCCATCCCTGATTTAGATGTTGCCTGCTGTTTCTGGTTTTTCCTTTTGGAAATCTAATTGTCTTCTTTTTTTTTTCCCTCTTCCTCTAGGTTCCACACATGTCCTGACCCCACAGAAATTGCTGGACACGTTGAAGAAACTGACCAAAACGGACGAAGAAGTCAGCAGTTAAACACGCATCATCCTCGTTCTTTCCTCCACTTTCTCGTTGATCTGCTCCCCAAACAGTAACATCCACCAAATCGTTGCAGAATCTGGCGTCACGGATGACTTCCTTTTTTTCCCACCCTGCCTCATCTTGAGTTTTAACGCAAGGCCTTCTTGACATTTCCCGTTATTCCCTCCTCATACGAAGCCAAGCTAAATAGGAAACAATATATATATATATATATATATATATATATATATATATATATATATATATATATATGCATATATATATGCATCGTGTTTAAAGGACGGGTGGGGAAAGAAAAGAGTAATATATTCTATAATATAGATATTACCTCTGTATGTATCCCAGAGAATAAAATGTCAGATTCAAATGCCCATATTGGAAGATCCCATCGCATCATCATTGCAGATACACAATAGTGATTATATTTTCAATACTGTGTTGTTGTTTCCCCACCCCTTATTTCCTTTTCCCCCTGCTAGGATGGGTGAATGCTTGTGGCTTGTTGATGGCTCTGTGATCCTGTACTTAACCCCAATGCAAACTGTGAATATTGTCTCCTAGCCATCGCAATTTGCTTGCAATTTTGGAAATCCTGTAATAACTTCTTCCCTCCTTCCCCCTCGCCCCCCCCCCACCTTCCCACTTTGCTGTTGTTGGGATTGTTGTCTTGATTATGTATTTCTTCTCCTTCGTTTTCTATCTATATATTTTCTGGATGTTAACTCGTTTGTTTCTCTTTCCTCCTCTTCTCTTTTGGGAGGGTTTCATATTGACTCATGTTTTTCCATAGCTTAACTTGCTTTCCCAAAGCCTGACCAGCAAACAGAGAGTGTTTGCCCCTCATCTCAGCACTCTGAGGTCTCCTGATGGCTTTAAATTTTGCTGAGGCATGCTAGCATGAAAATATCCTTGGAACCTCGTGGTAGTATTTTGATGCAAAGAATTTTTTTTTTAAAAAAATAGAGGGATATAATTTGCTTCTGGAAACCCCTTGTCCTTGATCTGTGAGATCTGTAGCCCATTTAGGAGAGAATGACCAAGGATATTTTCATCCTCTTTGCCTTTTAGTTCATCCTACCAATTCCTGCAAGGAGAGACAGTGAGAAAGAGAGAATCTATGCCCTAAATTGTGCAATTAACCCACTTAGTTTTAAGAAGAGGACATTGTAAGTCCCCAATATGGCTCAAATCTTTTTGTATGTCTTTTTGGGGGGCTGTTGCGAAGATGCTTTTTCAAAAAGCAACTTTGTCTGGACTTTGTTTTTTCCTTGAAGATGTTTCATTTCTCATCCAAGAAGCTTCTTCGGTTCTGACTGGCTTTTGGGGTTTTGGCCTGGATGAGAAGCGACACATCTTCAAGGCAAACCCAAAGTCCGCTTGACTTTTGAAGAAAAAAAAAAACCCTTTGGAACAAACCACATCCTGGATGACTGAGACTCTCCATAGTTGTCTTTGGGGCTTCCCAAAACTTGGTTCCTTCCAGCTTTTTTTGTTCTCCATCTTCCTTGTGTGTGACTTTAAAGAAGGACCCTCCCTCCAGCCACCAAGCTTTTAACTAGGTTTTGGTTTTGTGGTAGGTGGATTGACCCAAGAAAAGGTTTGAGTCATCAGCCTGGATCTTGTCCTGCTTTTTAGAAGGTATGGGTGGGCTCAGCTGTAATGGAGCCCAGATTTGGGCAAAGCTGGCGTGATGTCCTGTTTCCTGAAGTCTTAATGCAGTTTTTGGAGAAAATGAAGAGAGATTTTGTTTTCTCTGTTGAGGAAACTGAACTGCAGCTTGAAAGGCAAAGTTATTGCTCCTGCCATGTTCACCTCTGCTCAACAGTTTGGGTAGGTTTTGTTTTTTTTAAATCTAATGGGTTTTGCCTACTTATTGTAGCTATCTCTATTATCTGTCTCTATCTATCCATCTCTATATCCATTTTTACAATTCTATAATCCCTTTTCAAGGTAGAGTTGGGGTGACTGGATGCATCTGAGTATTTACTGGAGATCTATCTATCTCTATCTATCTATCTATCTATCTATCTATCTATCTATCTATCTATCTATCTATCTATCTAACTATCTCTATATCTGTCAATCTACCTAGCTATCTTCCATCAACTTTTTCTCCATTTTATCCTATATCATCTATCAACTATCCATCTTTCTCCATCTATTCTATCCTTTCTTTTCTATCTGCTCTATCAGCCTCTCTCTCTCTCTCCCTCTCTCTCTCCCTCTCTCTCATCTAGCTATTTATCTTATCCCTTGTCTCTTGTTTATGTTATCTCTTGTCTATATGTATTTATTTATTTATTTATTTCTATTTCTCACTATTTGTATCTATTTTATTTATCTTTGTTTATCTATCTATCTATCTATCTATCTATCTTGCTAGCTAGCTAGCTAGCTAGCTAGCTATCTTATCCTTTGTCTCTTGTTTATCTTATCTCTTGTCTATATGTATCTATATTTATTTATTTCTATTTCTCTCTATTTGTATCTATTTTATTTATCTTTATGTTTATCTCTCTTTATATCTATCTAATCTATATCTATCTATCTATCTATCTACTATCATTTCTCCTTCTCTTGTTATAGGCCATGTGTGCGTATGAATTAAATGTGTCTTGTGTTATTAGTGTGAACTTGGGATAAAGTAGTTTGCAGGGTTTCTTTTTTGTGTCTCCATTGACTTTCTGTTTATTGGCTTACTCTGACTTTGACAACAGGGGGTTAAGATTAAATATATTCCTCCCCTTTTGTCCTTTCGACTTGCCCCCTCCCTCTCAACCCCCCCCCCCATCTTTTCCTAGAAAATACCAGCAGAGGGAAGAAGGGGAAAAATATCCCTCCTATTATTCGTCGCTTGGTGTCTAAAACGTCACTGGGCTTAATATTCCAACTTCTTAGGGCAAACATCAACTTTATGAAATCTCCATTTGCCCCCCCCCCCAGCATCTCCTTTCTCAATCTCTCCTTGCATAAATTCCTTTTCCTTTAGCATTGTACCTCTTGGGGATCACTTTCATGTGGTTTGTTTCTTTTAGTGATATTTTTAATGGTTATTTAAATACCAATGCTTTTATGATTGAAAGGGATGGGAAGGGGGGGGGAGTGGGGAAAATGCAAAAGGCTAATGGGAGGCTATCTTAAGAGGCTGTTTGATTTCTTGAAATGTCAATGTTGAAGCACAAAATGTGTTATTTCTGTATTGCTGTTCTGTATTTTAAAAGCACTTGAGAGTTAATAAAATTTGCTGTCCTGCCCAATGACGTCTGAGTGTTTTATTGTAAGGATGGGAATTTGTACATTCTAATGATATCGACCCCCAAATGGTGGATTGGTTTTTGCTTTTGTTTTTTTTCCAGGTAGCACTCGATGGAAGCAGAAACAATAGTATCTGGATCTTCAGCTGTTTTTGCCTTTGTGGTTTAAACCCATTTCTAGACTTTGCTTTTGTTTAGTTTTCCCTTTGGTGAGACCCGTTGCACAATTTTAATTTTTTTATCTCCCTTTTTAGCCATATTTCCAGTGGTCCACTGCAGGGCGTTTTATTGTACAGGCCTCTCATCTCTCACTCCTTGTGAATTGTCCCCCTTCCAGTTCTGTTTACTTTTTTTTTCTTATTTGGTGAAGTATTTTGTTACCTCAGTCTTCTATCAGATTGCTGTATTTTTCAGCTTGTTACATTGATGACGATAACTGTTTCACTAATTAAGACAAAATCTTTAATGTACAAAATTCTTTGTTGTGATCCTGGAAGATGAATACACTTGATGCGCAATCGTAAAGCTATACACTATAGGTAAACCTCACTTTACGACCGTTAATGCTGGTTCCCAGGCTCCCAGGGCTGGTTATGTTGGCCTCTGACTGATTCTTCAATCAAAGTTCTGATTTCAACACTCAGCCTGGAACGGTGCAGGGACCAGGGCATCCGGTCCCTACATAAAGCCTATTACAAAGCCTGTGTCCCAAGCTGGTTCTGGCTACAGCATTACGTTGCCCTGGCACGCTGCCAGGGGAAAAGGCTCTTTGCAAATTTTCTAGTTAGAAAAGAGTAAGGTCGACGTAAGGCTGCATTCTGATGACTTGCCCCCAAACTGACCAACCTAGCCTGTCCTATCTTGGGAAAGCCTGACTTTTTTGCCCTCTTTGGGCTAAGGAAATATTAGGGCCAGACTTTTGGCCCACTTTGGGGGTTAGAAAAGAGTAAGGCTAACGTAAGGCTGCATTCAATGGGATTTTAAGGTTATTATTCTGCATCTTTATTATGAGAAGCCCCGTTATTTGTATTAATAGAATAACGGGAGGCCCAGGGACTGCAAAACGGGCACAGGTGTAGGCAGAAAGGCTCCTTGCAATTGTTCTAGTTAAGAAAATTTGCATTCCGATGACTTTGATCCACACAGCCTGTCCTATCTTGGGAAACCCTGGCTTTTTCGCAAACCTCTTTGGGGTAACGTTTATTTCCTCGTGGGGCTGCTATTCCTGCCTTGACCACAGGAGGGCAATATCTTCTGTCCCGTACCATTAGCACCGAGGCCATCATCGGCCTTTTTTAACTCGGTTTAAGGCTTTGGGAAACGGGTTTCCTGCTTCCGTGCCTGTTCTGCAGCCCCGTCGCTCTATTATGATTAACCGGTGGCATGCATTAGCCCGTGGCAGGTAGTCCTGCAGCCCTGCTCAGCCAAGCATAGCGGCGGAGGGAACGAGCCAGCACAGGCAAGAACTTGTTGGTAAGAGAGTCGCCCAGAGTGGCAGAGGGAGGCAAAGACGCCAGGCTCACTTCCGGTTGACCCGGAAGAGAAACGAGGAGGAGGCGATGCGGAGACAGCAGCGTTCGGGAGATGGCCGGTTAAGCAAGCGAGCAAGGAAGCAAGCAAGCAAGCAAGGATGCATGCCGGCAGCATCAACTGGAGGTAAGGCCCTGGGGAGGGAGGGAGATGGAGAGTGGAAGGATTCTTACGTGCTTTTGTAACTCGGAAGTTCTGGGCTTTGTGCAAGGTGGGCTTTGCGTGCTTAAGGAGTGTTTGGCAGTTTCTGTTGGGCTGGTGGTGTTAGCTTCTGTCGCTCTGCTATTGTGAGCTGTTAGTTTTGCTGCAAGGGGTTTTGCAGTATTTTTCTCCCGAATGGCTTTTGCCTGGAGCATTCCTTTCCTTATGAATGGAGCCATTTGGGGAGGCTGCCTTAGCGGGCAGCAAGTACTTGTTTACGGGTTTTTTTTTCTTCCTTAAGTGCCAGCTGCTAGCCAGTCGGCCAATTCTTAAAGGGGAATGTGCCTTTTTAAGCTAGTTCCCTCAATGGCTTCTCTTTTCTGTCTCTGGAGGCTTTTCCTTGTTTGATGAATATATGGAAGAGGGAAAATATTGGGGGGGGGGGGTATTATTCTGCATCTTTATCAGCCTGTAGGTGGCTATGTGATTTTTTTCCCCCAAAATAAAATAAAAAAATTGTGACTGTTTTCAGCCCGGCTTCCCACCAGCACAGTTCAGTGGGAGAAGCCGGGTTGGCTTAAGGATGACATGAGTCATTCACAACTGCAGTGATTCGCTTAACAATTCTGGCAAAAAAGAGGTCATAAAATGGGGCACCTTGCTTAACAGTGGGAATTGTTTAATTTGTGATCGTAACTCCAGGACTATTGGTAGAAGTTGAAGCTTATTGAGTGCCTGTTGGAAGAAATCTAAGCCTGTTTCCTTTCTTCTGGCTAAGATCACTTCTGAACAGATACTTGCTTAGGCTGGGTTGTTGTCCTTGTGTGTTTTTTGAGAATTGTGACTTTTCTTCTCTTCCCTTGCAGACCAAGAAATATGCAGATGTCATTATCCCTCAAGGCGTGGATAATACGGGTAAGAATTTTAAAATTTATAGAGAGAGGGGAGGGGGATTATCCAATCCAGGGGTCTTCAAACTTGCCCTTTTATGACTTGTGGACTTCAACACCCAGAATTCTTCAGCCAGGCATGCTGGCTGAGGAATTCTTGGAGTTGAAGTCCACAAGTCATAAAATGGCCAAGTTTGAAGACCCCTGCTATAGACTTTAAGAGGAGTGGACTTCAACTCCCAGAATTCCTCAGCCAGGCACAAGTCCACAAGTTATCAAAGGGCCAAGTTTGAAGACCCCTGGTCTTTAACTCCCACAATTCCTCAGCCAAGGAATTCTGGGAGTTGAAGTCCACAAGTCATAAAAGGGCCAGGTTTGAAGACCCCTGCCATAGATAATGAAGCAAAGAGTATTCTTAACTTTTTTTAATTGTACGTTTTCTTTCACCAGTAATCAGTAAATTCCTGGATAGGCTTTGCCCTCTGGAACTGCTTTTTTTTTTTTTTTTACAAATTATCTTTGAGACATTTTCCAGAGTCTCAACAAAATCCAAATCCTGCAGGTACTTTTAAACGCTGGGCAAAAATTGCTGGGCCACACATCCTTTTTTAAAATGTTGCATGTGGCTTTAAAATGTTACAGCAGCTGAATTCTTAAGAGTGAGCTCAGTAGCCAAAGGTGGGGCAGGCTTCTCTTTGAAATGCAAAAAGTTTGGGGCGGTTTTTTTAATATAGATTACTTTTTTTATAGTTTCTCTCTCTCTCCAAATGTATTCATCGGCTGTGCTGGCCAAGTGGGTTTTTGTTAATTTATTTCACAGTTGGCCCTTCATAAACCTCAGCTAGGCTTTTAAATTCCAAAGGCGGTGGGGAAACTAGCATTTAGTAAGATAAGTGCAGAAATGGAGTTCAAAGGAGGCAGGTGGTGGGCCTCATTGCACGAGGAGGTTGAAATACAAGTGTGTGGGGGGGGGGGAAATCCTGTGCTCCTTTTTCCCTTCTGCTAGTGAGTCACTGATAGATAGATAGATCCATTATACTTTCAATGGAGCCACGGACTTTAATTTGGTGGGTTAGAAACAGAATCTAACAGAACAAGAGATTCAGGCTAGAAATGAGGTGAGAACAGTCAACCCGTGGAACAGAAGTTGCCCTCAGAGGTTGTGGGAGCTTCATCACTGGAATCTTTCAAGAAGAGACTGGACTGCCATCTGTCAGTAATGGGGTAGGGTCTCCTGCTTGGGTGGGTGGGGGTTGGACTAGATGACCTACAAGGTCCCTTCCAACTCTGTTATTCTGTGCTTATCTGGGGGCCAGATAAGTGTTAACAGAATCAGAGAGTTGGAAGGGACCTTGGAGGTCTTCAAGCTGGTCCCCTCTGATGACTTATAGACTTCAACTCCCAGAATTCCTCAGCTAGGCATGCTGGCTGAGGAATTCTGGGAGTTGAAGTTCACAAGTCATCAAAGGACCAAGATTGAAGACCCCTGGTCTAAACCTTTTTTTTTTAAATAGCTGGCAACTTTAAGATGGGTGGACTTCAACTCCCAGAATTCTTCAGCCAGGCACACGGGCTGAGGAATTCTGGGAGTTGAAGTCCACAAGTCATCAAAGGGCCAAGTTGGAAGACCCCCGTCCTATAACATGTCAGATAAATGGTTATCCATGTCTCCTTAAAAACTTCTGGAAGCAGGTTGTTTCATTGATTAATTGTTCTCACTGTCAGAAAAATTCTCCTTAGTTCTAGTTTGCTTCTCTCCTTGGTGAGTTTCCATCCGTTGCTTCTTGTCCTGCCTTCTTGTTCTGCTTTGGAGAACAGCTTGACTCCCTCTTCTTTGGGGCAGCCCCTGAGATATTGGAAGACTGCTATTTGGTCACCCCTAGTCCTTATCTTTATTGGACTAGACATACTGGAACAAATCTAGTGTGTTTCAGGTAAAAATTAAAGCTGGCTTGCCTGCCTTTTCAAATCTCTAATTTGTCTCTTCTCTTTATTACAGGAGAATCTACACAAAGGCTATACGACGATGAGGGGAAGGCTTCCTGTTAACAGTTTCCTGGGTTTGAATTGTAAATGGGAAAACAGCGATCGCGACTGAAAGATTACACCACTTGGACTGATGCCAGGATGACAAGAAGGCCATCTTACCTTCCTGGTCTTCACCGTTGACACGCAACAATCTCCATCGTCATAGTTGCAAAAGGCTCGGTTGTTGACCGGATCACAATAATTGTCTCCCCCAAAAGGCTGGAAAAGAAAAGAAAAAAACAAAAAGATGAGGACAATGTCTACTTGCTTGTTAAGTGAACATTGGGAATCGGCTACAATTGCCGGCCGTGAAGACTCTGGAGAATGAGAAGGAAGAGAAACGAATCTTATTAGTGGACAATCCAGAACTGTTCCAGTTAAGCTGCCTAGAGCAGGGGTCTTCAAACTCGGCTCTTGCATGACTTGTGTACTTGTACGTGAGCTTGGCTGAGGAATTCTGGGAGTTAAAGTCCACAGTCATAAAAGGGACAAGTTTGAAGACCCCTGGTATAGTTTCCTGCCTAGAACAGGGGTCTTCAAACTTGGCCCTTTCATAATTGTGGATTTCAACTCCCAGAATTCCTCCCTCCTTTAATTCATTCCTTTCTTCCCTCCCTTCCTCTTTTTTCTTCTTTTCTTTCCTCCCTTATCCTTTTTTGTTTTTTCCTCCCTCAGTCTCTTTCCTTCCTTCCTTCTCTCTCATTCTATCTATCTTTCTTTTCCTTCCTTCCTTCCATCTCTTTTTTCTTCCTTTCTTTCTTTTCCTTTCTCTTTTTCTTTCTTTCTTCCTTCCTTCCTTCCTTTTTTCTTTTCCTTTCTGTCTTTTCGTTCCTTCCTTTCATCTATCTATTTCTTTTTCTGATTTCTTTTTTCTTTCTTTTTCCTTCTTTCCTTCATTCACTTTTTTCTTTCTTTCCTTTCTTTTTCTTCCTTCCATTTCTATCTATCTATCTATCTATCTATCTGTCTGTCTGTCTTTTTATCTCTTTTCCTTCCTTCCCTTTCTTTTTTCTTCCTTTCTTTTCCTTTCTTTCCTTCTCTTTCTTCCTTTTTTCCTTCCTTCCATCTATGTTTTTCTTTTTCTTTCTTCGTTCACTTTCTTTTTTCATTCCTTTCTTTTTCTTTTCCTTCCTTCCATTTCTATCTATCTATCTCTGTCTTTTTATCTCTTTTCCTTCCTTCCTTTCTTTTTCTTTCCTTCCTTTTCTTTTTTCATTCCTTCCTTCCATCTGTTTTTCTTTCTTCCTTCACTTTCTTTTTTCTTTCCTTTTTCTTTCTTTTCCTTCCTTCCATTTCTTTCTATCTTTCTATCTGTCTTTTTATCTTTCTTTTCCTTCTTCTCTTACTTTTTTCTTCCTTTTTCCCTTTTCCTTTCTTTCCTTCTTTCTTCTTCCTTTCTTTTTTTCGTTCCTTCCTTCCTTCCATCTATCTTTTTCTTTTTCTTTCTTCCTTCTTTTTCCTTTTTCTTTCTTTCCTTTCTTCCTTCCCTCCTTCCCTTCCCCTGGCTGTCGTGAACATATCTTTGGAAAACTTGTAAATGTGTTTAATGCCATTTCCTTGATTTATTGTTTGACTTAAAAATTGTTTGTTTGACTTTGTTGACTTCCATCTTTCATTTTTCTTTCCTTCCTGTCTTCTCTTTCTCCTTTCTTTCTTTTCTTCCTTTTATCCTTCCTTCCTTATGTCTTTTCTTTTTCTTTCTTTCCTTCCTTCCATCTCTTTCATTTTTCTTTCTTTCCTGCTTTTTTCTCTGCTTTCTTTCTTTCTTTCTTTCTTCCTTTCTTTCTTTCTTTCTTTCTTTCTTTCTTTCTTTCTTTCTTTCTCTTTCCTTCTTCTCTTTCTTCTTTCTCTTTTTCTTTCTTTCTTTCTGTCCTTTCTTCCTTCCATCTCTTTCATTTTTCTTTTTCTTTCCTTCTTTCTTTTCTTTCCTTCTTCCTTTCTTTTTTCATTCCTTCCATCTATTTTTCTTTTTCTTTCTTCCTTCACTTTCTTTTTTCTTTCCTTTTTCTTTCTTTTCCTTCCTTCCATTTCTTTCTATCTGTCTTTTTATCTTTCTTTTCCTTCCTTCCTTCCATCTCTTTTTTCTTCCTTCCTTTCTTTTTCCCTTTCTTTTCCTTTCTTCTTTTTTTTCTTTCTTTTTTCCTTTCTTTTCCTTTTTCTTTCTTCCATTTCTATCTATCTATCTGTCTGTCTTTTTATCTCTTTTCCTTCCTTCTTTTTCCTTTTTTCTATTTCTTTCTTTCCTTTCTTCCTTCCCTCCCCCTGGCTGTCGTGAACATATCTTTGGAAAACTTGTAAATGTGTTTAATGCCATTTCCTTGATTTATTGTTTGACTTAAAAATTGTTTGTTTGACTTTGTTGACTTCCATCTTTCATTTTTCTTTGCTTCCTTTCTTCTCTTTCTCCTTTCTTTCTTTTCTTCCTTTTATCCTTCCTTCCTTATCTCTTTTTCTTTATTTCCTTCTTTCCATCTCTTTCATTTTTCTTTCTTTCCTGCTTTTTTCTCTGCTTTCTTTCTTTCCTTCTTCTCTTTCTTCTTTCTCTTTTTCTTTCTTTCTTTCTGTCCTTTCTTCCTTCCATCTCTTTCGTTTTTCTTTTTCTTTCCTTCTTTCTTTTCTTTCCTTCTTTCTTTTCTTTCCTTCTTTCTTTTTCTTTCATTCTTTCCTTTTAGCCATCCTTCCTTCTCTCTTTCTTTTCTTTTTCCTTTTTCTTTCCTTCCTTCCATCTTTTTTCTTTATTTTCTTCCTCTTCCTTTTATTGCTGTTTTCGCTGCTTGCTTCCTTTCTTCTTCCTTTCTTTTTCCTTTTTTCTTTCTTTCCTTCTTTCCTTCCTTTTATCCATCCTTCCTACTCTCATTCTTTTCTTTTTCTTTCCTTCCTTCCTTTCTTCTCTCTTTTTCTTTTTCTTTCCTTCCTTCCATCTCTTTCATTTTTCTTTCTTTCCTTCCTTTCTTCTTTGCTTTCTTCATCTTTCTTTTTTCCTTCCTTCCTCCCTTTCTTCTTTCTCTTTCTTTCCTTCTTCCCTTTCTTCTTTCTTTTTCTTTCTTTCTGTCCTTTCTTACTTCCATCTCTCTCATTTTTATTTTTCTTTCCTTCTTTCCTTCTTTCTTTTCTTTCCTTCTTGCTTTTTTCCTCTGGTTCATTCTTCCCTTTCTTCTTTCTTTCTTTCCTTTGTTCCTTACATCCTTCCTTCTCTTTTCTTTTTCTTTCCTTCCTTCTTTTTCCTTTTTTCTTTTTCTTTCTTTCCTTTCTTCCTTCCCTCCTTCCCTTCCCCTGGCTGTCGTGAACATATCTTTGGAAAACTTGTAAATGTGTTTAATGCCATTTCCTTGATTTATTGTTTGACTTAAAAATTGTTTGTTTGACTTTGTTGACTTCCATCTTTCATTTTTCTTTCCTTCCTGTCTTCTCTTTCTCCTTTCTTTCTTTTCTTCCTTTTATCCTTCCTTCCTTATATCTTTTCTTTTTCTTTCTTTCCTTCCTTCCATCTCTTTCATTTTTCTTTCTTTCCTGCTTTTTTCTCTGCTTTCTTTCTTTCTTTCTTTCTTTCTTTCCTCTTTCTTTTTTCTTTTTCTTTCTTTCTTTCTGTCCTTTCTTCCTTCCATCTCTTTCATTTTTCTTTTTCTTTCCTTCTTTCTTTTCTTTCCTTCTTTTCTTTTTTCATTCCTTCCATCTGTTTTTCTTTTTCTTTCTTCCTTCACTTTCTTTTTTCTTTCCTTTTTCTTTTTCTTTCTTTTCCTTCCTTCCATTTCTATCTATCTATCTGTCTATCTTGCTTTTCCTTCCTTCCATCTCTTTCATTTTTCTTTCTTTCCTACTTCCCTTTCTTCTTTTTCTTGATTTTGTTCCTTTTAGTCTTCCTTCCTTCCTTCCTTCCTTTCTTTCTTTCTTTCTCTTTCTTTTTTTCCTACCTTCCTTCCTTCAGTCTTTCATTTTTCTTTCCTTCCTTTTCTTCCCTTCTTGCTTTTTTTCTCTGGTTCCTTCCTTTCTTTTTCCTTTTTCCTTTGCTTCCTTCTTCCCTTTCTTCTTTCTTTCTTTCCTTCGTTCCTTACATCCTTCCTTTTCTTTTTCTTCCTTTCTTTCTTTCCTTCCTTCTTTTTCCTTTTTTCTTTTTCTTTCTTTCCTTTCTTCCTTCCCTCCTTCCCTTCCCCGGGCTGTCGTGAACATATCTTTGGAAAACTTGTAAATGTGTTTAATGCCATTTCCTTGATTTATTGTTTGACTTAAAAATTGTTTGTTTGACTTTGTTGACTTCCATCTTTCATTTTTCTTTGCTTCCTTTCTTCTCTTTCTCCTTTCTTTCTTTTCTTCCTTTTATCCTTCCTTCCTTATCTCTTTTTCTTTATTTCCTTCTTTCCATCTCTTTCATTTTTCTTTCTTTCCTGCTTTTTTCTCTGCTTTCTTTCTTTCCTTCTTCTCTTTCTTCTTTCTCTTTTTCTTTCTTTTTTTCTGTCCTTTCTTCCTTCCATCTCTTTCGTTTTTCTTTTTCTTTCCTTCTTTCTTTTCTTTCCTTCTTTCTTTTCTTTCCTTCTTTCTTTTTCTTTCATTCTTTCCTTTTAGCCATCCTTCCTTCTCTCTTTCTTTTCTTTTTCCTTTTTCTTTCCTTCCTTCCATCTTTTTTCTTTATTTTCTTCCTCTTCCTTTTATTGCTGTTTTCGCTGCTTGCTTCCTTTCTTCTTCCTTTCTTTTTCCTTTTTTCTTTCTTTCCTTCTTTCCTTCCTTTTATCCATCCTTCCTTCCTACTCTCATTCTTTTCTTTTTCTTTCCTTCCTTCCTTTCTTCCCTTCTCTCTTTTTCTTTTTCTTTCCTTCCTTCCATCTTTCATTTTTCTTTCTTTCCTTCCTTTCTTCTTTGCTTTCTTCATCTTTCTTTCTTTTTTCCTTCCTTCCTCCCTTTCTTCTTTCTCTTTCTTTCCTTCTTCCCTTTCTTCTTTCTTTTTCTTTCTTTCTGTCCTTTCTTACTTCCATCTCTCTCATTTTTATTTTTCTTTCCTTCTTTCCTTCTTTCTTTTCTTTCCTTCTTGCTTTTTTCCTCTGGTTCATTCTTCCCTTTCTTCTTTCTTTCTTTCCTTTGTTCCTTACATCCTTCCTTCTCTTTTCTTTTTCTTTCCTTCCTTCCATCTCTTTCATTTTTCTTTCTTTCCTTCCTTTCTTCTTTGCTTTCTTCATCTTTCTTTTTTCCTTCCTTCCTCCCTTTCTTCTTTCTCTTTCTTTCCTTCTTCC